GGTCTTTTCGCCGAGCTGGTCACTAGTTACCCGTGGGGCGATGTCATGTTTAGTACACTGCATGTTACCGAAGCTGGCCTGCACACGGTTAGGAATACCCTGGCCCTTCGGCGCATGATATCGGATGCTCCGGCATCCGGTTCCTCCGCTCCTGGCTTACGTGTCTGGCAACTTCCCTTGCCAAGGTCTTCGCACCCCTTGCCGGCGGTGATGCCCCGCTCAGATTGCAGCAGTTGATGCTTGATCGGTTAGCGCAACCGCAATTCTGGGTGGCTGCCCTCACCATTGCCACCCGCCAGCATGCCCAATTGCTGCTAGCCGGTGACGCACTTGAGGAGCTTGAGGCGGGTGATGACTCCCTCGCTACCGGTGAGCAAGTCGTCCAATGGTATGGCCGTGCTGGCCCGGGTGATTGGCCGCTCCATCGCATGAAGGTGCATATCCCTACCGCGGCCATGGCCCACCTTTGCGCACACTCCCCCAGCCCGAGGAAGGTGGGGGAGAAGTCTCGCTCAAGGGCAAGGTGCAAAGTGTGCGTGGTGTTCGCTTCGTGAATGCCGGGGGGTTTAAGTCCTCATACACACCGCCTTACTTTTCTGACGTTGAGCACCACCGGCTCCACCTGCTACAACAATTGCAGAACGGGGCTTGGACTTTGACGTTCAGGATTACTGTGGCTTGGTGGGGCAGCTCGGCCCTTGCAGCATTCGGACCGACCTGTGGCTCCCCCTTCCCGCTGAAGGGCAGACGTTTGCGGACTTTGCTTGTCGTTTGGGAGCTACTTCTCAGCGCTGGATGTCTGCCGTGTTAGCCGCGCCCCCTGTCCTTGATAGTGCTGCGGCCGAGGTCATTCTCAAAAGTGTGGACAGTTTCCATGTGGAACCTTCCGGCCTCACTCTGCAAGCCTTCCTGAATCAAGGTCCCAAAAATACGCAGGCGGCCTGCGCCTTCCTCCGGGAGCCCTCGCTTAGCGGTTTCAACACGGTCACCAATATCGTACGGGTTCAGGCGCGGGCTGCTGAGCAAGGCAGCTCGGGCAGTCGCCCGAGAAGGCGCTGAAAAGACGCTGGTCCGCAGGCCGTAGGGAGCAACCCATGGTCTGCAGCTTTATCACTTCTGCTCAGAGCTCCGTGCAGTATCGGCCCCCCGCCGGTCTCACGGTGCTCTGTTGCATCATTGCTCCAAATTGGCTGTGGAACTTATTTGCTCCTTAGGCTAGGAACACCCTCTCGTGTAGCCATGTCGCTCTGGGGACGGGCCGTGTAGTACCGTGCCCCGCTCGGTCTCGCGGCCCCTTCCTGCCATTCTGCCCACCCAAAACCCTAACCGCACTGCCCCTTGCCTTAGCGGACGTGTGAGCCTAGGTGGCCCATGAAATGGCTTACCTTACCCCCGAAATTAAATTCTCCGGAGGTGCACCCGTGCTTTTTGATCCTGGGGCGGAAGTGCCGTCTAGTACCGTGCACCGCTCGGTCTTGCGGTCTCTCTCCTGCCAATTGCCTTGCGTCCCAAACCCTAACCATTCGGCAGTCCGCCAATGCCTTTGCGATAGGACCTGCGCCGCGCCAGGCCCCCGCAAGGTCTGGGCTCTTGGAACCACGTGCTTGGCGACACAACCAGATGGCCAGACAGTCTCAAGCTATAGCAGGACTATAGCCTACCATTACTCCCAAAACAGCAACTCCGCGATGGGCCCAAACCCTAACCGTTTGGCCGCTTGCCACTTGCTGTGCCATGGGAACTTGGAAAATGTGCCTGGCAGGCCGGCCATGTAGCCATCATGGGCTCATCGTCCGGTTGCTGCTGCCCTGCTTGCCTTTGCGTGTCATGCCTGATATGGGCATTGGTCTACTGCACACAGCAGCTCCTTTTGGCAGTAGGGCACATCTTCAGGGAAGGGCCACCGCTCTGGCGGATGTCCCAGCACTCAGACACCCCACCGACCGGCTACACTGCTCCCTGCAGTGTAGCACGTGGACCATGTGGTCTTGAGCCCCGCTCAGCCCATGGTCCCTTTCTTTTTGCCGTGCGGCCCTTGCAGTTGGCCCACTTGTGTGTTGACCAATGTGTGAGCACTCCTGTGTCGCTGCTGGGCTGCCTCGCTGGCTCGCATTGCCGCGAAGTTGTCCCTGCGGCTACAGGTGATGCCTGTGAGCCGGCTAATTCATGCATGCCTTTTGCTTGTCACCTCGGTGGCATTTTTGCCCTAATTCTTGCACGTTCCTTGGCTAGTGTGTGTGGCCTCCAACGTTGCTCCATTGCATATGCTCCTCTGCATGGCCATGTACGGGGGTTAACGATGCGCAAATGTGCCCCCGGCAGAGTGTAGTGCGCTCCGCGAGTGGACTATGTGGTCTGTGCCCCGCTCAGCCACATTGTTTTCTCCGCGCGTTGCCAATGCATTTGGTGTCTTCCTTTTTGCCCGTAATTTATTTCAACATGCACTTCCGCGTGCTGGCGAAATCACTTTCTGTTCTCGGTTTGTTTGTTTGCGGTGGTTCTTGGCTGTCTTTGGTTCGGCTGTGTCTGTTTGTTTTGGCTCCTCTGTGACCTGTTGTGTTTTCGTCGGCTTTTTCAAGTGACGTTTCACCATATGTTTCACCTCTCTACCTTTGTGTATTTTAGCAGGTTTTTCGCGACCGATGGCAATTGCCTCAAGGCGTGCTGGTGACAAAAAAAAAGCAGTGCTCAAAGCCCAGGGCCGTCGTCGTGGATGGGCCGCCCTTGTAGGGGAAGGCCTGAGTCCGCCCCCGCCCCGTCCAGCTCGCTGCTGCTGCTGCTGCGCACGCTGTAGACCACCTCCATGCTGCGCGCCCACAGCCAATCATCGCGTTCACTAGGTTTGGTGTGCTCCTCGCCCTTGCGTCCATGTGCAGACGTGGCTCTCCGACACAATGTGGCCCAGCGGCAGACGCCCGTGTCCAGCATCGCTGCCAGCAAGACCTTTGGTACCAGCCGGGGACTGCCTTGTGTCGTCGGCCGGGCGGGAAGGCGCGTTGGCCAGCTCGTTGCGCCTGCAGTCACCACGTCCACCTCTCCCTCAGCGTCTAAGTCTTCTGCCTCTCCGCCGTTCCAGGCTTTGTTTTGAGCAGCTCAATTGAGGCGGGGCACGGCGGCCATGAGCTGGCGCCGTGCCTTCAGGTCCTCGCACCAGAACAGCCGCTACACGTCTGCGAAGTGCCTCCACTCCCTGATCGGAGGGAGGGTCTGCCTCGCCTCGCCTTGGTACAGCACGCGCGCCGCCTGCCGCTCCAGCGCCCGCTTTGCAGCTTGACATGTAGCAGTGCCCGTCGAAGGCCAGGAAGTGCACCTTCAGCACCGGGTCGTAACTGTCCACAAGATCGCCCTGCGAGCTCAGCGCACGCATCAGGGCGTTGCGCCCATACGCAGAACTTCCGCACCTAGTCGGAGGTGCCGAGGCGCTTCTACACGCACAGGGGCTTGTTTTCGAAGGCGCTCGGCAGCACGTCCTCCTCGCAGGGCAGCTGGAAGCTCACGCTCTTGAGGGCCCTCATGCGCTGGCGCAGAGCGTCTTCACCTCGGTCGTGCACGGCGATGCTTCCCTTCCAGCGACGACGATGCCTCCGGCGATGACGGTAGCGATGACGATGCCTCCGGCGATGGGCCTCCAATGCCCAAGGCCATGGCCAAGGCCACGCCCAAGCCAGCACCCAAGCCCAACACCCAAAGCAGAGCCCAAGGCCAAGGCAAAGCCCTTTGGAGGCTGGTGCGCCGTGCAGGCTACGCAGACCCCTCAAACAGCGGCGGGCCATCTACCGGTCCGAATGCTGCCGACAGAATGTGTATCAGTGTCCCCACTGCAAAAGTGGGCGACAGGTGCACAAGTGTCCGCGGATAGGAAGGCAGCATTGAGGATTGTTCTTTGGTTCAGTCCTATCCGCATGCATGAAGCATGATGTACACGTACCGCAATGGAGGCTCTAATTGCCACAGGAAAAGAGCTGCCATTCGCTCAACAATTCCCAAAGCTCTTTAATTTTACCCTTGAGGTTTTAAGCGTCATTTTTTGGGCCAAAACACGTTCTTGGATGTTGCGTTGTTTGTTCGGGGACATCCGGGAATCCTGTCTTGAGGGCTCTGTTTTGGGCGGTTTTGGGTGGGGAGCATTCGAGTTCGCCCGCCAGAGTATCCTCTGGGGTCTCTGAAGGTTGGGGAGATGTAGAGCCCCTACGCCGACTAAAATGTACATGGAACCCAAAACACGTGTCGCGCAGATGATTTGTCTTGCTGGCTTGCTTCCGCGTTCCATTTTTTTCTTCTCTTTTTTTTTTTCCTTTACTTGAACTTGGATTGTGAAGGTGGGTTTCATGACTTTGATGAACTCAGGTTTCGTTGTTTCTCCACTAGAACACACCTACGGCGTGCTTTGTTTTCGCTTACCCGCATTTACGTTGCATCCAACCTGTGAGGTGGGAGATTGGCGTCAGTGGAACATTCGTACTTTTCACTCACATACCATATTGGTCGGGCACTTGTGTTTGACGTAGAATAATCATGCCGTTTTTCCACATGCACAGAAAGCACAACCGCAAACCATTGGTGAAGCATGCCATGCGAAGCAAGATGCATGTGCCGAGGATCAAGCACGGGTTTGGTGGCTGCTCGCGTGCAGCTTCAGCAACTCACAGGTTTTTTTTTGCAGTTTTCAGGACGAAGCTTCGGCAACAGGTTTTGGTCCGAGGGACCTACTTTGCCTGTCCTGGTTTTGGGGCGCACTTGGTACATGTTGCTTTTAGGGCGCTCCCTCTTTTTGGTCGGCTTGAAGGGAAACAAAAGTTGAACATCACATCTTGTTGGGGACCCATAGCAAGACACACCCACATTTGGGTTGGGTTGGGTTGAAGGGAAACAAAAGGAAGCAACATCACTTTCTGTGCGGGACGAACCATGTTCCAAGACACACCCGCACGTCTTTTGGGTTTTGGTACTAATAATTTTCTGGCGCACTCCCCTCGGATCGTACCGATTCGGCGCCTGCGATGCACTGCTGCCGATGCCCTGCCATCGCCCCCGATGACTCCCTTGGAGCGCTTCGAAGGGACAGTTTACTTCTTTTTTTTGGGGGGGGGGCAGGATCATGAAGGAAAACCAGGAAGCCCTTAGGTGGTGCTACGGAGCGCGGTGGTTTGGAGCTTAGGAGGTTAGGTGGTTTCCCATCTGCCAGGGCGTTCCCTGTCGGTTTCAAAGTAGGTCCCACTCAGTCAGCTTGGGCGTTCGGGCTTTGCCAGTTCGGAAGCGAGACATGTTTTTCGAGATGTTCACAAAGTTCTCTTCCAAATGCTCATTTCCCAGGCCAAAAGCAGGAAAATCGCCTCCCTCGTTTTTATGGGCAACATGGGTTGGCCACTGAAAGGCTCCATGCCACTGGGTCGCAAAGCGGCGTTTCTTTTTGGCTTTCAAGCCAATTTTTTTCGGAAGGGGCCGGGAAACGGATCTCTTCGGTCAGAATGGAGGGATTTTTTGATCTACTCCGAGTCCCACCTGGAGCGCGCTTTTCCTTTTTACGAAGCGGCAAGCCCGCTGAGAGCGGGTGCATAGGGCCTCGAAGTTTAGGTTTAAAGCAGAACTTCGCTGGGGTGAGGATGTCACTTCAGTCAGCCCAGGATTGGCTTGGCTGGGCTTTGAAGCTTGGATTCTGTGAAGGAATGCACAAACTTTTAAGTGCCATGCGGAACACACCTAGCTATGTGGGGTTGATGAGCTTCATGATTTACACAAATATTGGTGAGCTAACATGGGGTTAAATGAAACTTCCTTGGAACAGCAATGTATGTAGATTTGTTTCTTTGGGTTATTGGATGAGGAAGTGACTTGCATACGTGCCAAGTCCAATAAGCACTTCAGAACTCAGCCTTGACAGCATGCTTTTGCAGAACTGCAAGTTGGCAAGAAACACCCCGATGCCATGCCCGTCTGTTTTGTTGTTCCTGCCCTCTTTTTGCCGGGCTCGGTTTGACTGTGCGATGTGGATCGTTTTTTTTTGCAAACGAATGACCTCTCTGGAAGCGGGGGGCGCGATCAGGATCACTTCTCGCGCGATCCTTTGGCAATATTTTTTGATATGTCGCCTTTTTGGAAGGCTCGATCATGGCATAGTTGCCGTTCCAAGGTGTTTCCCTTGAACGCAGTGCTGGCTGCTTCGAAGTGCTGGATCTGGCAAAGGTTGCTGGGTGAAAACCTGCATAGGCACCAACTACAGCTGGCTTGTCAAAGGTTGACCTCCACATCCCGTAGGGCTTAAAGCAACCCGACATGACACCCCAACATAGTGAACGGTGTTTTTCAATCCGACCACGGGGCGTTGCCATTTCGATACCTGCCATTTCGATCGGACCCATTGTTCTGAAAGAAGACAAAACGGCGCGATGCAAGTTTGGAGACAGTTTAGCTGAGGCCCGGAGAACCAATTCGGCTTCACATGGCCTGCAATTGGGGCAGAACAGCCACAAGGATCCAACAAACACAAACCCACAGCAAAGGACTGAGGAGAGAAGGGAGGGGGAAAACCGTCAGAGCCACCTCTTGCAGGCTCCATATGATTCGCCGAATGTGATTCGCAATGGGGAATCCGCACACAGGAGTTCCTCCTTTGGGCTGGTTTGTTCAAACAACCCATTTTACATATATGAACATATATATCATTAACATCCCGCCCTGTTTCCCAGGTTTCATATGTGTCTTTCTTGACGGCACCCTGTTAGGGGTTCTTAAACAAGAAACAATGTTTTTTTTCTTTTTTTTTTTTTTTTTCTTTTTTAAGATAGATACAAAACAAACAATCAATAACCATATATATATATATATAAACAAACACACAATTAAAAAAAGAGAAAAATAGCAATCAATAAACGCCGTGGTGAACACCCCTCATAGGGCCTCTGACGCGACGAGCACGGCCTTGAGTCCATCGCCTCTCATTGAGGCCTGCGCCCCGGCGGCCACGCTGCGGGCGGCCAACAGCGTGCTGAGCGCCGCCTTTCTGCAGTCCCTGGGCCCCGCCGGCGCCACGGCGAGGGGAGTTTTTCGATCTTCGATCGAGCGCGACGAGAGCGCGACGAGAGCGCGCGACGAGCGGTTTTCAAGTCGCGAAGGGAGGAAGGGCGCGTGTTTTCTTCTTCTTTTGGGGGGTTTTAAGCCGAAAGCCGCAAGGTTTCAGTTGAAATGCTCTTGAGGGAAGGCACCCAAAACTTGCGGCCGCAGAGGACATGGGCCCCTCATTGGTTCAGTCGTTTTTAGCAGAGATGATGCTCCAAAGAGGCTATTTGGAGGGACCAAGAAAGCCGCTGTGCGCTTGTTGTGACTGGTGAAATCTAGTCGGCAGTTCAAACTGGGTGCCCATGCTTTTATGGCCTCGCCTGCCTGCTTGCTTGCTTGTTTTGCCTGTGCATCCTACCTTGTGCTGAGACAGCTGAGAAAGCCCTTGCCCCGCAATTTTCCTTTGGCCTTTTCCAGGGGGAATCCAGCCCTGTGATTCAAAGAGATGATCTTAAGAGACGAGTTTAAGGACTTGAGCAGCCATTTGGGTGAAAGAAGTCGCAACTTGTATCCACTTGGAAATGGTTCAAACTATAGTGGACAACTTGCCAGATACTTACCGCTTTCGGCAACCACCCAGTTGGGGCCGTTGATTCGGAGGTTTGGGGAAAGATCTGGGTGAACCCCTGGCATGAAGCCCCAGTTCATTGGCTCAACAATCATTAACTATGGCTCAGTAACATGCCTTCAGTCTCGGGGGCAAACTCTTGTGAGTGGGTAACCATACCAGAAACTAGAGATACCAGGGCTCGGGCGTTTATCCCTGAAACTTGCCCACACGAGGGGCCTCGTGCTTGCGTTTTCTTCTCGCGTAAAGGGGCATAAGAAGTGGTTCGCAACCAAAACCCACTTGCCACAAGTGCAAGTCCGCGGTTCTAAACAGGGTCACTGACCACTTGTTGTAGCATCCTGTCCCTTCAAGCGAGCCACTTCTTAAGAGCACCGTCTTTGGTATGTGTCCGAAGCTTTCGTTTTGGTTGGTTCTTGCCAAAACAAGTCTGGCACAACTGCTCCATTCTCCGTTGTTTGTTTTGACATGTTTTGCTCGGTTAACTGTGTGTGGTTAACTAAATACATAAACAAATAAATACATACATTTGATCTGATCAGATCTGATCTGATTTGATTGGATTGATTGGATTGATTGGATTGATTGATTTTGATTTGATTGGATTGATTGGATGATTGGATTGATTGGATGATTGGATTGATTGGATTGATTGGATTGATTTGATTGATTGATTTGATTGGATTGGATTGGATTGGATTGGATTGGATTGGATTGGATTGGATTGGATTGGATTGGATTGGATTGGATTGGATTGGCTTGGCTTGGCTTGGCTTGGCTTGGCTTGGCTTGGCTTGCTTGGCTTGGCTTGGCTTGGCTTGGCTTGGCTTGGCTTGGCTTGGATTTGATTTGATTGATTTGATTGATTTGATTGATTTGATTGATTTGATTGATTTGATTGATTGATTTGATTGATTGATTGGTTTGATTGTTTGATTGATTGATTGATTGATTGATTGATTGCTTGATTGATTGATTGATTGATTGATTGATTGATTGATTGATTGATTGATTGATTGATTGATTGATTGACTGACTGACTGACTGACTGATTGATTGATTGATTGATTGATTGATTGATTGATTGATTGATTGATTTGATTGAGTGATTGAGTGATTGAGTGATTGAGTGATTGAGTGATTGAGTGATTGAGTGATTGCGTGATTGAGTGATTGAGTGATTGCGTGATTGAGTGATTGATTGAGTGAGTGAGTGAGTGAATGAATGAATGAATGAATGAATTAATGAATGAATGAATGAGTGGATGCATCAATAGATAAATGAATGAGTATCTATATCTCGCTTTCTCTCTCTCTCTCTCTCTCTGTCTCTCTCTCTCTCTCTCTCTCTCTCTCTCTCTCTGTCTCTCATCTCCAGCACCTTTGGTTTTGGTTCGCCCCGGTTCGCCAGACGCAAAACCACCGGCAAAACGCACATCCCCGCAACGAGCCGCGAGCGAGCCCCGAGCCGCGAGCGAGCGCGAGCCGCGAGCCTTGAGGCGCGGCGGGGCTGCTGCAGAAGCTGGGCCTCGACTTCGTGGTCTCGGCCTTCCACGAGGCTTGGAGCGCATTTCTCGGGGCCATGGGGGTGACCCCAAAGCCGATTCCTTCAAGTGGTGCGGTAAAAAATGGGCCAGATGCGTTTTAAGTTGCTTCCTTTTGATGGTGCAAACATGGTAGCCAGGGGGTGTAGATTTGTTCTGTAAAGAAAGGAGTTAACGCGTGCTGGGAGAGGTGGAAGCCGTTGAGATGCGGCAAGCCAGGTTCCGGCAGAACAAAGATGTCTTAGGGTCCAAAGCACCAGTTTCTGACGCTGAAAGCAGAAGTGGATCACGCTCCTTGCTTGTGTCATGGGCGTGCTGCAAATTTTGAGAGATTTTTCTGTTGCTGGGGTGCTGTGGTGCCTTTCTGTAGCCAACATTTTGAGGTGGGTCTCATTTTCCCCGATTTGTTTTGCGGCAAAATCCAGGCTTTTGATTCTATGATATGGGTTTTGCCAGACTTTTTCAATACCAGGCATTGATTTTTGCCTTAGAAGGGCCGAACACGCCTTCCCATGTGAAAACATCGGGTGACTTCGCCACTTTCGGTAAACATTCTGGGATCTCGTGAAAGAAGCGACGCTGTCAGAGGCTATAACGGAAGAATCACCCAGATCTTGAGCTTCGAGTTTGACAAATCTTAGGCTCACTTTAGTGTTGACCGCGGCTCAAGACACCCGTCCTATTGATAGCCGGTGTCACCCACAAAAGCGATGAATTCCCACCAAAGGGGACAGCCGTCCACTAGTCAACCAAAGGGTTAGGAATCCGGGGTTTTGATTAGGTTGCGAAGTTTGAATGAGTTTGCGTTGTGGGGTGTCGTTGACACAGACCTTTTTTTTCTCCTCCCTTTTGGTGGGCACTGGCCATTTGCAACACCTCAACCGTCACAAGATTGGCGGCTTTTCGTTTTGGTCGTCTTCCGTTGAAGCCAACCTTGAACAAGGGTCCCTCAAAAAGCAAACGCACAAACACACACAGCCATACAGTGGTACGTGGCTGGTATATACTCAACAAGTTCTAGGGACATCGAACAACTTAGATACTGATTTAGAACAATGGGAAGATTGTGCGCTTGCTTCAATGGCTCCCCGTGCGAGTCGGCTCTGAACAAGCAGCATGTGGGTGCGTCCTTTGAGCCTGGGCTTGTGAACCCCCTGCCGAGTTTTGGATAGTTAGATGGAGGTGCTTGCGTTGGCATGACATTTGTGTTATTGATTGATGCAAGTTGCATTTTCGTAAGTATAATGAGTTGTTTCTCACCTTGTCTCAAGTAAGACAAATCAAACCTGAACATATACTTGGCTACATAAGCAAACATCCACCCATCTTTGACATCAGCATTGGGTTTGTTCGAATCTGACATTTTTTCTCTGTGATGTTCAGAAACGATTGGCACCTTCCTGCAGCCCGAGGATTCAAGTCCTTTGATTCGTGGGTAGTACGTGGAGGGTGTAAATCCGTGCAAATGTTGCCGTTGGGGCGAACCACCCCGCGGATCCCTGGGCCGTTTTTGGCGATGTCTGCTTGGACGGGTATCCTTCTTAGTTGTTCTTGGTAAGTCGTGTTGTAACTCTGTTTATGAGTTTTCCGACCCGCCCAGTTGTAACCATGGTGTTGTACCTGTTGAGGATGACCAATACAAAAGCACACACCCAAAGATCCAAGCCCCCCCCTTGTTGAGTTCCTTTTGGTTTCCCCCCAAAACGGGTTTTCCCTTGTTTGAATGAAACCCGAATGAAACTAGGGTTTTAGGAATCCTGGGCTCCCATTAGGTTGCGAAGTTTGAGTGAGTTTGTGGGTTGTCTTTGACCCAAACTCCTTTTCCTCCCTTCTGGCCCTATTTTGAATGACCCACGTTGATTTCCTTTTGGTTTTCCTTGAAAGCCATCCCAAAACGGGGTCTGCTTCGACTGAAACCCGGCTGAGCCTCCAACACGTGGTTTTCTATTTTGAATGAGGCTTGTACGAACCCCTGATTTTTCCCAGAGAGGCGGGGCCTCAGACAAAAGTTGACACACCCAAAGATCCAAGACCCAGGTTGGTTTCCTTTTTGGTCTCCCTTGAAAAAACCATCCAACACAGGCTCCCTGCTTCCTTTTTGACCCACAACACATGGCATGGTCCTCTACACCTTCCTTGGCCACACCTTGGCCAATTTCTGGCTGATGAAACCGATCCAAGACCCAGGTTGGTTTCCTTTTTGGTCTCCCTTGAAAACCATCCAACATCATCCAACACAGGCTCCCTGCTTTGACTGAACCTCAGCTGAGAGGTTCTCCCATGGAACACCATCCAACACAGGGTCTGCTTTGACTGAAACCGAAACCCCGAGAGGTGGGGCCCCGGCAGTGCGGGGATCTCTTCCTGGAGCTGCAAGTGCCCTTCTGCGCGGAGCTCTTCGTGGCGCTGGGGGACCGCTGGCTGGCGAGCCTCTTCGCCAAGCTGCGGCTCGGTGAGTCCGAGTCGGGGGGTCCAAAGGGAGCGGAGGGGCGGGGGGGGGCGGGGGGGCGGGAGGGGCGGGGCTAGTTGGGGTGTCTGTGTTTTTGTTTCTGTGTTTCAGAGGTTTGGTTTTGTGGGGGCAGGGGTGCAAGGTTTTTTGTTTGTGTTTTTTGGGCGGCGGGGGGGGAGGGGGGCGGTGTGTGTGTGTGTGTGTGGAAGGTCTTAGACGTTTTCGTTTGAGCGGCTGAGTTTTTTTTGGATTTCGGGTGGATCAAGTTTGTTTGATCCATTTTTGAGTGCCGCGGAGGCAGCCGGACTTCCTTTTGACCTTCTTCGTCCACGTGGGCGGTGGCTTTGCCACATGGCATGGAAAGCTCCAAGTGCGATGGCCGAACGCGAACCAGGCAAAAGACCATGTGGGTCAGTCGTTTTTTCTTCTTCTTTTTTTCTCCTTTTTGTGGTTTTGAAGGGACACCAAGAGGAGCCCAAAGTAAAGCCTAAAGAACGCCACATCGAAGCGGCACGGGACGCGGGGACAACCAGAAAGGGCCACGTAGCTGGTAAGGGAGCTGGGGGAGCGGGGGGGGGGGGTGACCCATGGAGGGCATCCGGCGGCGGCGCTTGCGACATGGGGCTCGTTGGAAACGGGGGAAGGGGCAATGCGAGCAGAAAAACTCCCACCTCGCTTTGTCTCAAACTAGTTGGACCTCGACAAAAGGCGATGGTTTCCTGTTGTAAGAAGCAATTTCCTCAACATTAGACACTACATTTGGCCAGTCCAAAAGTTTGCTTGTGCAAGCCCAAAGGGGTCCTTGCCGAGTTTGACGCACAGAAGGTGTGTCCTAAGACTGGACAAGGACATTTTGCATGGCACCTCCCGGCGCTGGATCAATGTGGTTGGGCTTGTGTGGCGGGCTAGAACCTTCCCATCCTTGGTGCTTGTTCAGTTGCATTCAATACGAGGTCTGAAGAGTTGCCAATCATTTGAGCCACAAGGTGGAAGATCGGAAAACAGGAACGTTGTGGCTAAGCTGTCCTCTGGAACAGGTCCCTTGAAAAAACTTCTATCATGCGAGGGAAAGCAATGGGTTTGTTTCTTTTGCCACGACCTGGGGGCTTTTCAACCAAGTTGATCCAAGAAGTCCTCGGGCCCGTCAGAACAGTCCTTCAGAAACTGGTTCCATAGAGAATATCTTCGGATTTCCCAACTGTTTCTCTTCATCTGAGAACCCCACGTGCTTGAAACCTTTTTTTTGGGGGAACACGCGACTCACCCAAACCTTTGGGAGCCTAAACTCTTCATCGACCCTACAAATCTTTGAGCCCTAAACCCTAGGGACAAGGCAAAGGACTCGTTGATCCTAGGAAGATCATAGGGGGCCCTTTTTGCGAAGAAGATTCCGTTTCTTCGCGCAGGGGTTTGTCTCTTTTTGGAAAGCCTTGAAATACAGGGCTCAGGGCTTCCTTTCGGTTTCCCTTAAAACCACCCCCCCCAAAAAAGAAACCCGACACCTTCCAAACACACCCCCACATTTTCGAGATCCTCCAAAACAAACAAACACCCCCCCAAACAAAAAAAAAAGACGACAAGTCGGGTTCCCAACTTACACCACGTCCCAGAAAAACCGCACCGATCCGATCCGATCCGATCCGCGCCGCGTGAGGTGAGTCAGCTCTTCCTTCGCCTGCGCACGGACTTCTGCGCGCGGCTCTTCGGGCACCTGGGCCCGGCCTTCTCGGCGCAGCTCTTTAAGGCGGAGAAGATGCGGGGGGATTTGCGAGTCGACACACGGTGGCTTTTTGGGGGTGAGCTGGAACGCAACGACCAACCATATATATATATGAATATATATATATATGTATACATATATATATATATATATATATGAATACGTATACAAAATACATATCTACCCACTTATCTATGTATATATATATATATATATATAGATAGATAGATAGAGATATGGGGGTTCCCCAAGTCAAAGACCAACAAACAAGGGTTCCCTAAACCAACGAACAACATATATATATATATATACACACACACACACATAGGGATTGCCTAAATCAATGGACCTAAATTCTTTTGGGTGTATATATATATATATATATCCCTTTGAAGTGTGTAACACAACCCTATCAGGACTCATCAACGAAAAGGTGCTCTTTCTGGGATGCCCCCCCTCAAAGAAAGAAGTGATTCCATCAAGTTGTTTTTTTTCTTTCGGGGGGGGGGACAAAAAGGAGTTCCCTAAAGCAACTGCCCAAAAAGTTTTTTGCTTGGGCCGGGGGGGGGGGGGGTTCCCGGTTGTTTCCCCCGTGGCTTCATAAATGATGAGAGCCCTATGGGAATTCGCTGGATAGGATTTGTCCTTTGTCCCATGTTGGAGATACTTTTTCGAGGGGAAGCGAGAAGGGATGCCAGCAAGAAGGTGGCCCTTTTTTGGCTCGTATGCTTCCCCTTTTGAAGGCTCGCTGTATTTCCCCTTGCAGGGTTGTAGTTTAAGAGAAGTAACCAAGTAACCAGTGAATCAATCATTGTCGCATGGCTTCATGTGGACACATGAAACTTGAAGTACTTCCTTATATTTGAAGTCTGCCGAAGGGGCGCATGGATGGGGTTATATATGCCACCCAAATTCCAAGGGGATTTGGAGCAGCCAACAAGGCATGCGGGAGATGTCTGTTTTGGACAGTTACACCAGCTAATGGGTGAGGAGAATCCCCAAGCTTGTGTGCAGATTACTTTTTGTTGTGGTTATGTGCCACAATGGGAACCTCAACAAAATGACGAAAGGTACTCTCGAAAACGCCCCAAACCAAACCAACCCAACCAAAAATCGGCCAAACCGACCCAACCCATGTCAAACTCACCAAATGGCGCTAAAATGGACGGTTGCCCATGCGACATGCACGCACACATGCCTACATGCATGCATCACGGTACGTGTGTACCTATGCGCGCACCAAATATATACACATATCCATACATGTAATTTCCTTGTATTTGTATGTTCATACGCATATGTATTCCGGCAATACTATGCACATGTATACATGTTCGCATACACAGGCATGTACATGATTCACATTCGCGGCTCGTCAGGCGTTGGGCACGGCCTATGTCAGGGACCTCTTTAAGTCCTTGACCTACCACTACTGCGCCCGGCTCTTCTCGCAGCTGGGGTCCGCCTGGACGGCGGAGGCTCATCGCAAGATGGGGCCCAACTTCTGCCTTTTGGACGCAAGCTGATGGCTGGGGCGGCAAGGGGGAGGAAAATGCGCTTGGGCACAAGCGCAAGCACCGTCAAACACACATTTGGGACCGGTTCTCAAGGGTGGAGGGGTGGGTTGAATGGTTTTGTTTGACAGCTTTCCATGTGTTCTAGTGTGCTCGAAGTGAGGGAGCCAGGCTCCCTTTCCCATCCAGTGCGCTTTGCTGGGGGGTTGGTTCCTATGATTCCATGAGCACTGTTTGCATGCAGGTACCCGCACACAGCATTGCGTTTGTATTCTGCACCCACTTCGAGTGAACTTCGATGCAGGGGGATGCTCCACTGGAGGAATGATTGAAACCCTTGGATGCAGCATCGGGGGGTCATTTTTTGGAGCTGTAGGAAACTGGGTGCTGCAATTTCATGTTCACTTCTGAGAGACACTCCAGTTTTACGAAACACCCAGGTTTCACTGGAGTCACACTGAAAACCCGGCTAGATGAAGGATAGCGGACAGTCCCAAGCATAAACGAAATGCGGCGCGGATATCCGCCCTCTTCATTGTTAACATGGTTTCGGGCAGACCGCTTTGCCGTGTTTCGATTGTGCTCTTTGACCTTTTAGTTTTCCCTCTGAGACACATTTCACCTTAGAGTTGTTTGGGCCCTCGTGGGTGCACGCCAAGCTTCGCTTCCAACAAAGCATCCATTTGCCCGGTGCCACCATTTATGTCCTGAACCCATTTTGTTGGTCCAGTTCCAATAAAACATCATGCCATATTGTTTGCACCTCTTTCCGATAAAACCAGTTTTGTTTCTTTTTTCTTTTTTTCCTTCCTTTTTTATTGAACAAGAGGCGTCGCGACGAACAAACACATCATGGGGATGCACAAGATGCCTGCTATGCACCTATGAATACTGGTTGATAAACCACGAATCCAGCTGCTGCGTGTGTTGAGGATTTATTCCATCCACAGTATTCAGCAATGTACTTGGTTGGTTCCGCAGACGGCCAAAACCGCCACCTAGTCCCGAAACACCCAAAAAAAGCAGACACAATTACCACAACCAATAACGCCAAAAAACAAACCCCAGACCCTCCCCCCCCCTTCCGCAAGAAAAAGCAACAACAACGAAAAGCAAAGCCAAAGAACCAGCAAAGAAAGAGGACCCTTTTACATCCCCCCCTGTAAGGGGGCCCCCGTTTTTCCGACCTATACCACAAAAACAAAACAGGTTACCTCCCCGACGGTTTTTCTTTCTTCTCCAAAACCTTTTCATGTTTTTTTAGCAATCATTCGCCACCCCCCCCATGTTTTTTTTTGCAGCAAAAACTCAAAACAAAAGCAACAGAAACGACGCCTCGCCCTGGGGGCGTAAAGAAACGACACCTGCCCGGGGCTTTTTTTTTTAAATAATAATAATAATTATTTTGGTTATATATATATATATATGTTGTTTTCTCCGAGCCCTTGAGCGAGGTCTGGGGCTCTACGGGTCGCTGGGCTCCACCTTCACGGCGCGGCTCTTTGGGACGGCGGGGCTGGGCTTCACCTCGGAGACCCACGAGGCGAGGTGTGGGTGGGTGGGGTGGGGGGGGGGTTGGGGGTTGGGGGCGGGGAGTTGGGTCTTTTTTTTTTTGCGGGGTGGGGGAGTGGGGGTGGGGGTGGGGTGGGTGCGGGGGGGGGGGGTGCTTTTTTTTTTGGGGGGCCCTTGGGTGTTCAAGCTACGTCAGGTAAGTGGGTTATTAGTATGGTTATAAGTAGTTGGACATTAGTTTTTTGCCGGCGGTTCTGTGATTTTGTCCGTAGATTCCAAGAAAGTAAAGTGTCACAGTATTTTTTTCGTGGGGGACAGCTTTTTGGGGAAACAAGGCAACGGAAAGGAGCCCTAGCCCCACTCAATTCCCCCCTACCCCACACACCCCAAGCGGGGCCGGCCAATTTTATACCCAGAACAAAATAATCCCCTGGCTCACGAAAGGAGCGACGGCTGGTTTCAACATATGGGTATGAGTCAAATTAAATCACCACGCGTTGGACAGGTTTTAGTTTATGTTTTCTTTTACCGGGGCAAGCCATTTTGGGGTTGCACTATTTTTGACTCACACCCATATGTTTTGCCACAAGTAACCCTAACCCTAGGGTGCCAGCCCCAACCACTTGCCCCGGTGACGATTTGCCAAGTTGGTGCTTGGGGTTCGCCACTGGGTTCATTTTTTAGCGGCTTATCAGCGAATGGTTGCCGTTGCAACTTTCTGACTCGAACCAAACACCCAAGCAGATAGCAGGACATACTGACCATTGCCGCGTCCGGTCAAAATGTCTTGCTTCAGAAGACATGTGAAAGTGGGCTGGGCCTGGCTTTCTCTGTGAGATTTGGACCTGAAAAGCCATGGCCTCTTGGTGTATACAGGGGAACCGAATCATGCCAGGGTTTCTGACCGGTGCGCCATGGATTCTGTCCATCCACAGTGACCTACTTACTAAGTGCTTTCAGTTGGTTCAGTCTCAGTTTTTGGCCAACTGAAATTCGGTTCAGTTTCAGTTTCAGTGGGGTGGCTCTGAAAAACTGAACCAACTTCTGAAATTTGGCCAAGTAAGTTGGTTCAACTTTTCAGGGCCCGCTTGCCTCGGAGCCGCGCATGAGGCCTTCGGTCCCTCCTTCACGGCGCAGCTCTACTCAGGCGTCGGGTGCGCGGGTTTGCTGTGGGGGAACGACTCGTGAAAACCACGCGGAGTTTGGTGGATGAAGATTTGGGTGTGTCGTTTTTTGAGGGTAACCCTGTTTTGGTGGGAAGCCAAAAGAAAACACCAATTTGGGGGTACCACGTTCAAAAGACACGCCCAATTGGATCAACCACCCTCAACCACCCGCAAGCACCACCCACACGCAAGCACCACTAACATCAAACCAAGTTGTGGTGACTTTATTGCTGGCAGGTCAAGGCGCGCATTCCCAACCCGTAAAATACTTGCATGCCTGAACCTTCCAGAGACCCGGCTAAGCTGGGTTGGTGGAAAGACCCTGTACCCTTGTGGGTGTCCTTCTTGGAGGGTGAAATGGTGCCCAGCGGACTTGGGACGGGCTGAAAGTATTCGGAAGAGCACCTCGCCAGCTCAGGCTTCGGGGAGCTCCCAAAAACCCCAAAAGCATCCCACAAATCCAGGGGGAGACGCGAGTTTCGTCCAGGGTTCACGCATTTGGCGGTTTTTATTGAGTAAGGCCAGGCAGCCCCCATCCACTCCGACCAAGCCATCCCGGGTGGAGACGCGTGAGTTTCGAGGGTTCAAGGTCATTTTTTGCCACGACGCATTTGGCCGTTTTTCTTGAGGGCCAGGCAGCCCCCATCGGCCCATCCACTCCAAATTCGCCCCGCGAGAAGCCAAAAGGAAATGGTTGGAACACACGGAACGTAAAGGGCAGGGGAACAAACCAATAGCTTGGGAAAACCAAATGGCTGTGGCCCAGCACCAATGGTACCATTTTGGGGTAGGTGCACCACCCATTTTAGAACCTATTTTAGTGGGGATTGGGATGTTCACTGGGGGTACGATTTGGATTTCGACCCATGGCCAAACGAGAAGCTGCCAGAAGAACAGAAGCCAACAAAAATGGTCCACCACTTCCCGGAGACTTCTTGCCGTCTGTGCTTCGGCTCCAAGTTGGGCCATCCAAGCGAAAGAAAACCATCGGAAGAACTAGGCGCTGCCTGAGAAAATGGTCATGGCTCTGTCTCTCAAGCCTCCAAAATGGCAAGGGGTTGCTGTTGGCTTCTCTTTAAAGCAACGGCGAACGAAGGGGGAACAGCTTGGGGTTGGCAACTAAGGCTTCGGTCTTGGGTTGTGACCTGCAGACACAGCACCAACAGCGGCGCAAGCGTAAGCCTCTTGGAAAAGAGCATTCACTCGGGTGAGAATGCTGCGCGTCGCTTGACGTCCGATGCGTACGGTGCGTGCTCTTAAAGTCACGCTCCTTGGAATTGGAGCGTAAATTAGGCGGTAAATTCCATCAACAGCGAAATAGAAGCTCGAGACCGATAGCAAACAAGCACCACGAGGCTCTGCGAGTTTCCAAGGGAAGTCCACCAAACAGATCTCTTTCCCTTCCCCCCTTCCCTTCTCCCTTCCCTTCCCTTCCCCCCTTTCCCCCAGAAGTTACTCCGCGAGTTTCCAGGAAGTCGAAGTCTTGGGGTTTTGGGCGTTTTAGGCCTGGGCGCGGACTTCGTGGCGGAGCTCTTCGATTACCTGGGCCCCAAGTTCTCCGGGGGCCTGCTGAGCAACCTGGGCCAGGAGATGCCGAGCTTCCCCGACCCGTGTGCTTCGATCCGTGTTTTCTTTTTTTTTTGGTCGGGTGCGGATTGACAGTTTTCTTCGATCCGTTTTTTTTTTTTTTTTTTTTTACTTTCCGGAAGACGGGTGCGGGTTGATGTGGGTCTGGCTTTTTTGAGTTGTTTGAAAGGGACCCCAAATGAAAGCCACCCATTTTTTGGGTGCCCCTATCTTGAAACCAACCCATTTGCTTTTCGGGGTTGGCGTCGGAAAAGAGACGCGAGACTGGCTTTTTTCTTAAGTGTGCAAGTCTGACCCGCTCATGCGGAGCGATTCAGAGCGGCTCCACGAAGAAAATGGTAGGGTGCTGGTAGGGGGGTTGCTGTTTTGGAGATGCCACGTGGGGTAGTACCTGGGCTCGTGGGTTCTATTCGATTATTTTCAAGGGATGCAGTCGTACCAGGTTGGGAAGACCAGAACCTATGGAGTGACACTTTTAGTGGGTTGGGGGGGTTGGCTCGGGGTGGGGGGGAAGTGGTGGCCGGGGGGTTGGTGTTTAACTTGCCGCCTCCCCAATTTTGAACCCTCCGGTTTCAAATTGTTTTTCGAGACGGTTTGGGATTCGGGGAGCTAACTTTAAACAACGTACGTAGCCAACTCCACTTGCAACCCTACTCTTCCTGGGATTCCAGGGATTGCCCTCCCTGGAGTTTCCCCTTTTCCCATTTCAGTGGCTGTGTGTGTGTGTGGTTTTTGGGGTACTTTTGTTGGTGGTTTTAAAGGGAAACGGGACATCCACAAATTTTGAGGGCAATGCCCTATTTTGAGACAAGTCCATTTGTTTTCATTCATTGGTTTGGATTGGCGGTTTAGATTTGGATGTGACTGGGAGCTCGGGTTTTACACATTCTTGTTGGTACCCTACCCTGCGAAACCTGGTTTAAGAAACCCTGGTTGCCCAAGATACGTACCGTGGTACCTGGATCCACAGGGTTTCCTTTACACCCATGATGTTGTGCCACCCAAGTATCTATCATATACCTTTCAACATTTCTACATGCATACTCATTGGAATACTCAAGTTACCTACCCATACCAAAACACTTGTGAGCCACAATCAGAACCCGGGTAGATGAAGGTTAGTAATGGATGCGGCAGCCTCGTTTTGTCAATTTCTTACATGTTTCTGGGTCCATGTCGACCATTCTACTACCGATCGGTTTTGATTGTGACTCATGCAACCCGTACTTCCTTTCGCTTAAGTTGTTCTTTTGGGTTCCACCTTGTTGGTGTTTAGGGGAATTTATCACTCCTGGAAATACCGATCGGTTGTGATTGTGACTCATGTAAGGGGAACATGGATGCTCTTTGCACAATTCCAATCAGTAAGGGTATCCATGGATGAAAATTCAAGTCCAGTTATGATATGGATACTCCATGGTTGTTGGGAAACCTTTCACATTTTGCCCTTCCAACGTCAAGCAAGACTCTTGCATACTCATAGACACCCATACCAAGACACAGGAGACGCGGGAATCGGGTGGAAGTACATCCCCCTTGTTCATAGCCCTTGGCTCCCAGAAGTTGTATATGTACAAGTCCCCTGGACAAAAGCAGACGCATGTGAGGCACAATCAGAACCCGGGTAGATGAGGGTTAGTAAGGTTTTCTAAGGTAATACCAGGCTGAGAAATTGCTGGGACAATTCAAGTTGCCCATGCCATGCCACAGGGCAAAGGGCCGTGGCAACGGATCCAGGACTTCGATGCAGTGCTCTTCCGGCGCCTCGGGGAGGAGTCGGTTAGGGGACGGGGGGATGACGCGGCCGTTGTTGGATTTTTCCCGTAGGTACCGGGGGAAACGCAGCTCTGGGCACACCACAAAAGGAACGAGGTTGGGAAACAGAACAAGAAGAAACGCATTTTGTTAAATATTTTTATTTCTATTTTTAAGGTTTGGATTTGGGCCCTGATATGAAAAGTTTGTTTTTGGGTTTTGGTGTCCTCGACTCGAAAAACGCGGGGTCCACGGTTTTGGCGCACGCTTGACTCCGGGAAAACGAGCCTAGCTCTTTTGTTGGGAAACAAGGATCCATGATATTTGGCTGGTGAGAAGTAGTTTTCCCCGACAGTCAAAGCCAGAGCAGTTCACCCTCAAGCAAAGTATACAAAGAATCAAACAGATCCGTTTACTTGGGTGTTGAGGGATTTTGGGCAGGTGTGCTGGGTAGTTTCCCATTTACCCTCAAGAACCAGGGACCTGTTCAAATGCAAATCTCTCCAAATCACCAAAAGGTTCCCTGATCAACCTGCAACTCAGTTTTTGAAGTCTGCTGTTTGGACAATCAATTCTTTGGACAAACACCACCTCTTTCTCCTAGATGTTTACAAGCTGTCTGGAACGGATCCCGTTCAAAGGGGCCCCTATTTTTTCAATCAAACGCCATAACATGGAGGTCAAGCATCAGACCTCCTGAGAAAAACGGGGGTCGTCGGTTCTGCCACCTGGCGCCCACTAAGGGGAGCCCAGTTGAAGCCCCCGAGCCGAATTCCGCCGCTAGGACTTCATGGCGCAAGTCTTCGTGCAGCTCGGCAAGGCGCGCTGCGTGTCCGTCCGAGTCGGTTGGGGGGTCGGTTGGGTGGCTCGCTGGTTTTGGGGATTTTTTGGAGCCTGGTCTTTTGGTTGGGTTTAAAAGGGAAGCCGAGAGGACGGGACAAGGCCATTTTGGGGGGTTCCGATTTGAGTTTTGAGACAAAAGCAAGCCAGGCCAACACTTTTTGGTTGAACCCAAAGAAACCTGCCCAATCGAATGTTTGGGACTTTGAGAAAAGCCACATCCAGAAACGACATCAGGGACTGACAAGATTCGCGGTTCCCCGGTTACTTGGGTTTTAGTTTTAGTTGTTTTTGGTCGGTTTAGCGGTTGGGTTTCCGTTTCACCCACGAACCATCAAGCCTTTAGCAGGGGGATTTGAGCACAGCCCGGAAAACATCCCAAGAAAATGGTTTGCTTTGGGTGGTTTGCTTTTGGTTTGCGGAAAACACCTTACTACAGGTGGTTTTCTTGTGGTTTCCTTTCCACATCACAAGAAGGGTATTTCCCAGGCCCGGACTGGGCCCGGGGCTGTTCCATCCCGAGCTACCCGCAAGGCCTACGTGTCCAAGTTCTTCAAGGAGTCGTGGGGGGGCCGGGGGGTGGGGGGCGGGTGGGGTGTGAGGGGTGAGGACCTGAGGAGAAGGGTCTCTTCACATGAGATCCCGGGGAGATGGAAACCGGTTAGTAAGGGACAAATCCCAATCATAAATGGCTGCAGCCGCCTTCTCAATCCTTTACATGGTTCTGGGTCGACCATTTGAGAATTTCGGTTTTGATTGTGACTCACAGACGAAAGGGCGCCTTTCTGGGACTTGTGAAGGCACATGCGATGAAGAAGCGCGCGAAGAGAGACCAACCAGGGTATGGTTTTATCTTCATTTCCCCCCCGCCCTTCTTTGTGTATTTTCATTTTTGGCCGTATGACTGAGTATTACTGTACCCAGCTCCTTTGCCTTTCAGCTGACCATCCTTAGGCTCCTTTTGTTTGACTTCTCAAACTCTTGGCGACAACGAATGGAGTGTGGTAGTTTGGAGTTGGTACCCTTTTCTTGGCGGTTCCCAGCGAATCATCCGGTTCCTTGAGTTCTTAGTTCTTGTTAGTTGGTTTGGTGGGGTTTCCAAATTTAACCCACTAAAAGCCAAACTGTTCGCAGGGGATCTGAAAACGGACAGCCCCGGAAACCCAAAGGACAGACTTGACCTTCAGTTGTTACCTGGAACTCAGGGACTGGTGCGTTGGGTGTTCCACCAGCTCAAGGTCACAACCATGGTTATATGAGGCCGTGAGTCCAAAATGGGGTAACCCCAACATGGCTGGCCCAGTGGGACCAAGGACCAAAACCAATCCAATGCCTGGGTGGCTTTATATCGACTCAGACCCTTAACTGGGACAACTTATCCCAGTTACCAACCACTTCTTTGGTGCATTTTGCTTGGCTGTTAGGACTTTAATTTTTTGCCAACTAATGGGTTTTCCACTAAACCACTAAAAGTTAAACTTTTAGCAGGGGAGCAGAAAGCAACCGAGACTACAACCGTGACAGTTCCCATTTGTCTCAAAAGGACTCAGGACCATTTCTCAAAATGGGCAAACTGGTTTCTTGCTGGGGCTCAGCGGGGAATGAGCCAGGGTGTTGGGAATGAACCTAGGGATTCCCGTAAAGGACACCATAGGGCTTGTTTTTAATTCCCTGCTGAGAAACAGCAAGTTTTCCCTTGGCTTCCCCCGGAACCATCCAAAAGGGTACCCAATTCCAACAAAAGAGCGGATTCCAACAAAAGAGCCTTTTGGGGTCTCCATGACCCATTCTAATGGTTGCCATGACCTGACTACTTTGTGGGTCCCGACAGAACCATTTTTGAAGGGTGACCCGAGGCTTCAGGCACACCATCAACATGCATATCCACATATAGATACTGTGGAAGGACAAAATCCGCTTCGCTCCAGTTACGTCAACCAGTAATTTATAGGCTTCATGTATCCCAAGTGGTGCAGGACTTCGTCCACCCACAGTATGTCCCTTTTTTTGTGTGTTGTTTCTTCTTTTTTACAATCCCCATACTGTGGATGGACGAAATCCTGCACCACCTAAGAAACCCTAGTTTTTGATGATTCCCTTACAAATCTTCCAACGAACAACCTTTTCAACCATGGTTTTCAAGTGGCCTTTAAGTGGATTTGGTCCATCCGCGGTATTTCCCACCGACCAACTCCCAAGAAAATTTCGGGGCTCCCCGCCCGCGGCCTTCGAACTTTCCATCGGGACGAAACGAATCGGCAAGGGGGAGAGACCGGACAGACCAAGTTTTCTGGTCAGGGGCAGGGCTACGGAGCGCGGAGCCCCCCTCCCCCGGCGCCTTCGAATGTGGCTGTGGCTCAAAAAGATGTTTTGCAAATGGCCCCTTGGCGGGTGGAACCAAAGACCAAAGCCTGCGGTTCGCCCCAGCTCTTGAATTTTGAGCTGCGCCCATGTTGCGAAAGGACACGGAACTTTCCATCGACTTTCCAAAAAATCGGAGCCGCCCGCAGCGCCTTCGAGCCGAAACGAACCGAAACATTGCGCGGAGGTCATGGGGAAGGAGGTGGGGGGCCTCTTCCGGGCGCTGGGTGCCAAGTGGTTCAGCCGCGTCCAGCACCACATGGGCAAGGCGAGGCGAGAGCGGAGTCGGAGTCGGACCCGGATGCGGATGGGAGGGGATGGGATCCCAGGAATGCGGAGGTCCCGTTCTTTTCTTCTTCTCCTTTTTTGGTGGGGGGTTCGTTGGGTGGGCTTGTCGGGTAGGGAAACTGACTTTTTTTAACATACTTTGTGGCACGGTCTTTTTGGTTGGGTCCATGTTTTAGTGGCAACGTCCAGGTCATGTTGTTAGGTGAGGTGACAGGGGCCGCTGGATGAGAGCCCGGCCCTTTTGTTTCCCAAATTGGGTCGAATCAGGCCAAACAAGCCCAACAAGGGCCGAAATATGTGCCCCCTCCCCTCCCCCGGTTGTCTTTTTTTTTTAGAGGTTGGAATTATTTTTTTACTCGTGCTTTGTGGACTTCGCTTTTTGTTCTATTTTTTTAGCTTTTGCGTCCAGGACCTGTGCAAAGAGATCTACGAGGACCTGGGCGCGGAGTTCCTGGCTCAGCTCTTCGAGGTCTTCGGGGAGACGTTCGCGGGGGAGGTGCTGCTGATGCTGCAGGCCCACTTCTGTGCCTCGGCGCTCCGGGCTGATGGGAGGGTCGGTCGGTCGGGTCTGGTCGATTTTGGGTTCGAGTCGAAAAGGGTAGGTTTTCGGGGGGTTTTTCGAAAGGGTGAGAAATATAAAGGGGGTCTACTTTTTTTGGAGGGGTTGGTACTTTTTTCGTGGATTTTTTGGGGCATGGGGGGTCTGTTTCTCTTTGTGTTTCTGTGGTGCGAAATGGATTTCGCCACCATCCACACTGTGGGGTTTTCGAGTGCCAAATTTGCCAAATTTCCAAGCAAGACACGCCCAAATGTTCCCCTTCCAACGTCAACCAAGCAGTAGGGCCCTTTCTCACCGTTTCTGTTTTGGTTGGGAGGGTTCCCCCTACTAAACTAGGCTACAGGAAACAAAAATCGGGTACCAACTTCTTCCAAGCTCTCTACTGGGCCTAGTTCCGCAGCTTCCGTAGGCGTGGAGATCTTCGCCCACGTGGGGCCTGCCTATGCCTCGCGGCTCTTCGGCCCCTCGGCGCGAGGTGGAGACTGACTGAGCGACTGAGCCCAGAGGCCCCGTCAGCGACGAGCTTTTGGCAAGGGAAGGGCAGCAGAGCACGACCTGGTTTGAGAAGTGGAAGTGATAGCGTGTTTTTTTCGGGCTTCGGTCAATGGGGTTGGGTGCAACAGGTGTTGAAGAACCAGACCCGAAGCCAAAAGGATGGAGCTCGGAAACAATGGATGGCACACCCTCAAATAAGAGCAAGACAAGGGGTTTTGACCCAGATGCTTTTCTTTTTTCAAGCGGTGATGAATTTGTTCAAGCCAGGGTTCCACGTTTTGCTAGCCCAGACTTGATCCCCTTTTTGGGTTTAGGCATCTTTGGGGCAGAACTAGAACCCCGGGCCTCTGCTTGGATTGTTTACAAAGGGGCCCTGGCTCCCGATTGTACTTGGATTGGGCTCCTTCCCGCAGACGGAACTTCCTATTCAACAGCCAAGTTTATGAAAAACCTGGAACGCGGGGTGTTGTCCGGAAAGGGTTTCGAAGACATGGTTTTTCTGGCATGTGCGAAAGACTTGCCTACTTGGGACTACGGAAGGAACATTTGTGGCCCATGCTTCTTACCCGTGGTTCTGTTGAGAAACCGCACAAACTCTTCGGTTTTTCGCCACTTTCGGATCTCTCAGAAGGTTGTCAAACACAATTCGGGGGCACATTTGGAACCCAATCAGCTAGCCCTTAGTTGGTGGTTTGGATGGCTTGGGTTTTTGAACCCCTGGTTCTTGTGGAGGGCAAATGGGAAACCCCTCACCTCCAAACCACCAATCCAAACCAGCCGGGAGAAGCTGAGTATTGAGCCCCTGTGACGCGCATCGGGGTTATTTTCTTGTCGAGACAAGTGGGATGAAAGGGCACGGACAAACTCAAATGGAGGGAGTTGGATCCAGACAGTTTAGCCCGCGAATCGGTAGCTCATATTTTTTTCCGCGGCGTCAAATTTGCATGGGTGTGGCTCATAATTCAAGAGCTCGGGCAAACCGCAGGTCTTTGTCTGGATGGTCAACCAACTTAGTAGGTTATAACCATGGTTGTAGGGGGACTAGTCCCATATTAGGAGCGGCGCTTGCACGGTGAATGGCCCTAAGGGTTTCCCGAATAGGGCAAATTGCTCTTGAATTAGGTATGTACCGTTTTCAGGTTCCACCCAACATGGTTGGCTTCCTTTTGGTTCCCCTTTAAACCAGTCCTCTTTTGTGGGGTACCGAGCTGCGAAAAAGAGCCACCCCTTGCGCATTTTTGCAATTCTGACAACCCAATTCAGAACAACAGGGTTTGCCAAAAGATACACCCTCCACAAAGACACATCCCCACAAGATACATCCCCACAGGACACATCCCCACATATCCCCCAAAAATACCCATGTTTGAAAGGACGGCCGTCGTGGGACCTACAAGACAGGCCAACAAAAAGCTCCAGGCACGCTGGGCCCAGCCTGGGCAGCGAATCTGTTTCTGGAACTGGGCCAGGACGGCTCTCTTTTTTAGAGGTGGGGTGGTCCAAGGAGGTGTTTTTTTTTCTTCCTAAGGCTTGCTGAGCAAAACCCTAAGGAACCCAAATAAGCCCTGGAGAAGCCTTAGAAACCCTGAGGAACCCTAGAGAACCCGGGACAACTCTGAAGGCTTACGGGCTTTCAACCTACCCCCAAAGATGGGATCCCAGGCAGGCATGTGTTGTGAAACCCCCAACCCACTGAAGGGCCTGAAGGGTTCCATTTTGGGACGGCAAGAAATAGAATCCCGCACCGAACGGGGACTTGCCATGGCCTTGTCGCGGTTACTCACCAAATAGAAGACGTATCTTGCCCCTTGACGGAACACATGAGCTGCGGCCGACGATGATGATGATGATGATGCTGATGATTACGATGATGATGATGATGATGATGATGATGATGATGATGATGATGATGATGATGATGATGATGATGATGATGATGATGATGATGATGATGCTGCTGATGATGCTGACGAGGATGCCTATGGGGAATGATGATGTTGCCGTTGAAACTCCCAATCACAGTCCATCTTTGGTCGATTTCAGCCTGAAGAAGGGGGCAAAAGGGGTGAAGTGCACTGTCAAGTGATAAAGTGACAAAGTAGTCATAGGGATGGGAATCCCACTTTGGTATCTCACAGAGTTGTATTTTCCAGTGGCCGTGAAGGTTTGAGAAGCAAACTCCAGGAAAACAGCTCCTGCAAATTAACCAGACACCCACAAAACACAGCGGATGTTTGTTGATTTCGGTGTGGGTCAAAAATAGGGTAACCCCACTGTGCAACCCTGGTAAATGGAACCATGGACTAAAACCAGCGGTCCCCTGGTGTTTAATTCTGACCCATACCCATTTCCTGGAGATTTTGATAGAAATCAGCCAAGATTGCAGGACTTTGTGGCTGCGTTGCTGGCGGGCCTGGGCGTGCGGGGCCCCATTCCGGATTCCCTCCATAGGTGGGGTTGGTTTCTTGTGGAACGAAGTCCAAAAGGGGTAAACCACCAGTTGGCTGAGACCCCTGCTAACATATGGGTTTTCCTCTTGGGTTTAAGCTCAACCCCCACAAACAATACACTAATGCACACCCATTTGGATGGGTTTAGGGAATCCAACGGGCGCCCCAGGTGTCCTTTCTAGACTTCTGCTTGAAAGTGGATGGAACCAAACAAGCTGCCGGCCTTACCACGATCGAAAAATACATCGACCAACAAAAACAGACCTGCACCGACGAAAAAAACATCGAGCGACTGATGGCGGAAAATGTGTCAAGGACTACTCCCCAGAGCAAGTAGCCTCTGTGAAAGGTGCCCCTTTGTGCATGGATTTCAAGGGAAATGAAACGGAAAGCCACCCTGCCAAATGCCGTGATTGTTTGGCTTAAAAGATCACTCGGCTCTTTTCGGCTGCTCCAAATGGCGGGAAGTGATTGTTTGGCTTAAAAGATCACGTTTTAGCTGCTCCGAATGGCGGGAAGCTTTTCGAAGTGATCGCTTTTCGGCTCTTTTCGGCTGCTCCAAATGGCGGGAAGTGATTGTTTGGCTTAAAAGATCGCGTTTTAGCTGCTCCGAATTGCGGGAAGTGATTGTTTGTTTGGCTTAAAAGATCGCTTTTTCGGCTCTTTTCGCCTGCTCCAAATGGCGGGAAGTGATTGTTTGGCTCGGGAAGCTTTTCGGCTGCTCCGAATGGCGGGAAGTGATTGTTTGGCTTAACAGATCACTTTTCGGCTCTTTCGGCTGCTCCAAATGGCGGAAAGTGACTGTTTGGCTTAAAAGATCATTTTTCGGTTGCTCGGAATGCTCCGAATGGCGGGAAGTGGTGATTGCTTGGCTTAAAAGATCGCTTTTGGGCTCTTTTCAGTGCTCCAATGTTTGGCTTAAAAGATCACGTTTTAGCTGCTCCGAATGGCGGGAAGCTTTTCGGCTGCTCCGAATGGCGGGAAGTGATTGTTTGGCTTAAAAGATCGCTTTTCGGCTCTTTTCGGTGCTCCAAATCGCGGGAAGTGACTGTTTGGCTAAATTAGAACATCACGTTTCAGCTGCTCCAAATGGCAGGAAGCTTTTCGGCTGCTCCGAATGGATTGTTTGGCTTAAAAGATCACTTTTTCGGCTGCTCCGAAGGGCGGGAAGTGATTTTTTGGCATAAAAGACCATTTTGCGGCTGCTCCGAATGGCGGGAAGGGATTGTTTGGCTTAAAAGATCACTTTTTCGGCTGCTCCGAACGGCGGGAAGTGATTGTTTTGCTTAAAAGACAATTTTGCGGCTGCTCCGAATGGTGGGAAGTGATTGTTTGTCTTAAAAGTTCCTTTTTCGGCTGCTCCGAAGGGCGGGAAGTGATTGTTTGGCTTGAAGATCATGTTTCGGCTGCTCCGAATGGCCGAATCACTTTTCGGCTCTGTTCGGCTGCTCCAAATGGCGGGAAGTGATTGTTTGGCTTCAAAGATCATTTTCGGCTGTTCCGAGTGGCGGGAAGCTTTTCGGCTGCTCCGAATTGCGGGAAGTGATTGTTTGGCTTAAAAGATAAGTCTCCAAATGGCGGGAAGTGATTGTTTGGCTTCAAAGATCATTTTTCGGCTGTTCCGAGTGGCGGGAAGCTTTTCGTCTGCTCCGAATTGCGGGAAGTGATTGTTTGGCTTAAAAGATAAGTTTTCGGCTGCTCCAAATGGCGGGAAGTGATTGTTTGGCTTAAAAGATCATTCTTCGGCTGCTCCGAATGGCGGGAATGTGGCTTAAACGAACACTTTTTGGCGGGAAGTGATTGTTCGGCTTAAAGATCATTTTTCCGCTGCTCGGAATGGCGGGAAGTGATTGTTTAGTTTTAAAAGATCAGTTTTCGGCTGTTTTCGGGATGTAAAGATCATTCTTCGGGTGCTCCGAATGGGGGTTATTCGATCCTGAGATTACATAACCTTCGTGGAACAACAGGCTGCAACCCAGAAAGGGCAATCAAAGATGTTTCATGATCGTTGCGTGCTGCCCAAGCCAAGGAGGCATGTGCCCGGAGAGATTTTACTTGGTCCAGCAGGTAGAGACGGGCTTGCTGCCGAAGCTGCCCCCTTCAGAAGCTGCCCGCGTGGAGGCGTACCTGACTTCTTTCCGGCAAGCCAATGTGCCGCGGCAGGAGTTCGGGTTCAAAGGCTTTCGGATTTTAAGCTGCCTTTTCCCCAGGCCGGGAACCTGCCAGAAGTAGAGCGGCGGTTCCATGCTCTGGCGCACAGCGTTTTGGCGTGGATGTGAGGCTGGGCCGCCTTGGCTGCGACGTCCATACGGTCTGTACGGGGGCGGATGCGGGACGGGCGCGGAGAGATTGGCCCATTGGCACGGACTTGCGAAACCTCGCAGGTTTGATTTGCGTGGCCCGGGAAATGATTGTTTGGCTTAAACGATCACTTCTCGGCTGATTGTTTTGCGTATTTTCGGCTGCTCCGAGTGGCGGGAAGTTGTTTGGCTTAAAAGATCATTTTTCCTTTTTTTGTTTTGCTTAAAACATCACTTTTCGGCTGCTCCGAATTGCAGGAAGTGATTGCTTGGCAAAAAGATCTTATAAGATCAGTTTTTTCGGCTGCTCCGAATGGCGGGAAGTGATTGTTTGGCTTTCAAAGATCATTTTTCGGCTGCTCCGAATGGCGGGAAGCACTTTTCGGCGCCTCCGAATGGCGGGAAGTGATTGCTTGGCTTAACGGATCATATTTCGGCTGCAGGAAGTGATTGTTTGGCCTAAAGCATGATCTTTCGGCTGCTCTGAATGGCGGAAAGTGATTGTTTGGCTTAAAAGATCACTTTTCGGCCGCTCCGGATGGCGGCAGTGATTGTTTAGCTTAAAAGATCAAGGAATCACTTCCCGCCGTTCGGAGCAGCCGAAAACTGATCTTTAAGGCAAGCAATCATTTCCCGCCATTCGGAGCAGCCGAAAAGTGATCTTTTCAGCTAAGCAATGACTTCCCGCCATTCGGAGTGTTTTGTTCAACCAAACGATCTCTTCGCGCCATTCGGAGCAACCGAAAAGTGATTTTTAAGCCAGACAATCACTTCCCGCCATTCGAAGCAGCCCAAAAAAACAAACAATCATTTCCCTCCATTCGGAGCAGCCGCAAAGTGATTTTTTAAGCCAAACAATCACTTCCCGCCATTCGGAGCAACCGAAAACTTTTTGTTTTAACTATATTCATCATTATTTCCCGCATTTCGAAGCAGCCAGAAAGTGGTTGTTTAAGCAAAAATGTTGTTTCCGCGGTTCAGTGCAGCAAAAAAGCGTTTTTTTTTGTGCTCAAAAATCACTTCCCGCTATCGGAGCAGCAAAAACATGTTTTTGCAAGCCAACAAATCATTTCCCGCATTTGGAGCCGAAAAACACGTCCCGCCATTCCGCGCAGCCAAAAAGTGTTTTTTAGGCAAACAATCACTTCCCGCCATTCGGAGCAATTTTTCAGCCAAGCAATCACCTCCCGCCATCTTGAACAGCCAATCAGTGGTTTCATGAAGCAACAAAGGCATTTGTTGAGCTAAAACACATTTTCCGCCATCAGGAAAAGCAACCAGCGTTGGCGTTACGGATTATGTTTTTCAATTGCGGCAACAGCAGCGTCTCGAACCAAGATCCTCCCAATATTGGATACTTTCGTGGACACCCGCCCAATTCTTCCTGCGGTTCTTTTTCAATTTTTGGTGGGTTGGCTGGATGGGTTTCAGGGAGCTGGGCAGATGGGCCAAGTGTGCTAACCTGGCAAATGAGCAAATCGGAGGTTCCCTTCAGTCCAGTGGGTTGGCATCGAATCACTTCATCTCCTTCCTCCCCAAGCCCGCCGCACATCACAAAGCCCTGTGTTGAGTTGAGAAGTTTGTGGCAAATCCCAGGGCAAACGGAGGGCAACACATGTTTGTGGCTCGTCTTTTTGGAGTTGGTACCCGCTTCTTGGCAGATGCTTCAAGGAAATCAGAAGCCCCTGTGTCTCCAGAGATGGACCTCACAGATCAGGGACCAACATGGAGACCTTTCCTTGGGTACACTTCTGTTGCCATCCCTGATTTTGGATCCGCATCTCCGCATTCGGTGCGAAAGACCTGAGGCGAGCTACGCTGCCGCCCTCTTCAGATCGCTGGGCAGGCCGGCGCGCTCGCGCGCGCGCGGCGCTTCAGAAAGGGGTGTTTTTACTGTTGAAGCTCGGTATCCGTTTTGGGGTTGAGTTAAAGGGATGTTTTTTTGGGTTTTGGGAGGTGTTAAAACTCTGCCTTACAAGGGGCCGCTCCTTGTCTGCCAGCAACCTGTCTCGAATGTCTTTTCGCCTGAGTGGTGTTCTCAAATCTAAGAGCCCCAAGCTCCCCCGACTTTTTTTTGGAGTAGACTACATGTTTCTGACACCCTTTTATACGGTCGTTTTCGATTGCGCTGCTGCGCCCTCTACCGCGGGTGAAAGAGATGTGGGGCGAGAGGCTCGCGGCTCAGGGGACGCATCTGCCTTTGCTACGTGCGCACTGGGAAGCCGGCAGACGGCAAACGGGGGCAGAGCTTGAGGACGCACTGGCAGATGGCGCCGTGAGTTCGACAGAGCAGCCGGTGATGCAGATGATGGGGCTTGCCGAAGTCTAAGGATGCTGCTGTTGATGCGGCCATAGCCTCCTCTCTGCGCTGATGTGCCACCATGTTGGGCAAGGAGCAAACAAGCAGCAAATTAAATTAATGTGTGAGAGCCTTTTCTTCATTGTGTGTGTAGAAGTTCTTTTTTTGGGTTGGTTTAAAGAAAATCCATCCATGCACTTCCCCTATTTTGACACAAATCCAAGTGGCCATGGGTTTCTCTCTGAGGCGAGCATAGTGTTGTTTCGCGCCTGGCCGCGCGGACTATGTTCGGATCTCATTGTGAGTGGGCTCATTGAACCACCGCACAGGAAGAAACGGTGACATCAAACGGATACAGTATCCGGATCAGTGTTGTTCAGCAAGGCCAAGAACCCTCCAACATGCCTTGTGACCATACCCAACAACATCGTCAACGATGCACCCCTTCACACACGGGATCCCGAGGGAGGCTCTCAAATCGGCCCTGGGGTTTTTCAATGGGACACGAGTATTACTATGACTTATGAAGCATTCTTTGCGAGCCTCAGTTCCGACCAAGCAGAACAAAAGATGAGCTGACATCCTTTTTGATTTGGGCAGCTTTGGCCTTTTCAAGAGGCCGGCGGTCTTCAAACACCCGGCATGGTCAGCCTCCTTTGTTGGAGCGTGACGCCCGCGCAACTGACAATGAAGGGGGTGCAGACCAATTTCCCCACACATAAAAACAGGACGGCCCCTATTTTTTGGGAAGCTCATCCCATGCACAGATGTGGACACATCTACCCACTGGGTATGTTCTCCCACCTTTAACCACCGTAGAGTATGGGATCTAGACATGGGTCTGTCTTTCTGTAGATACACCCCCCCCAAAATGCTGGTTTGCCTTTGGCGTCCCTTTAAAACCAACCAAACAGGGGAAGTTTCGAAACATTTGGTCGCACCTGCCCCGAGCGCTCCGCTTTTTTTCTCACCGCTTCGGTTCGGTGAGGCGCCACGTGTCACAGCTGTTGCGCAGCGTGGGCCCGCAGTGGTCTGGGCTCCTTTTCGCGAAGCTCGGCGGGGAGTTCGCCCGGAGCTCGGAAAATGTCGCTCCGAGCGAGAAGGGTGGCCAGCGTGGCGTTTTTTGGCCGGTGGTTCAAGGGGTTGATCCAGCGACTTCAGTGATACTTTTGGGAATCTCCCCCTTCCACTGGTAGGGTTTGGCTTTTGGGGTTCCCGTTTTGTATCACAGAAGTGGATTCCGTTTCCCCCGGTCCTGGCTCGAAAGGGCAAGAGTCGCGCGCTCGAAGCACCTGGTTTTTGACTCCCGGAGCTGAATGCCACGGGAGTCCAAAGTAATGGACAATTCATGGCCTTCAACGAAGTCGGAAGGCGGCAGCTCGGTGTTTTGGTGCTGTGCAAAGTTGGGGATTCATCGGGGCTCCGGACATATGTCCCCCTTGGAAAAAAACACCCCAGGTTGCAACCCTCATCCAAAAGTGGCATTTCCAAAAGGTGAGGTTTTAACCGGCTGAAAAATGGGACGTCCAGGGAGCCCTGTCTGGGCCGCGGAGTACGGCATCGAACAGCAGGTTTGCCCCCCCCGTTTCTTGGCATTGAAACGCAAAGCCCTGTCCAGAGTTTTCAATGACAGCCATTTCGAAGACGGTGGACTTGTGAACAGGACAGACACATCAAACTAGCATCTTCTCTGGCCCAGCTTGGAGGCAGGCATTTTTACACATGCAGGATTTGCGGCAGGGAAGATGCTGCTTCCTCTCAGGCCCGTCGAACAGATGTCTGAATTAGACTAGAGGATCCCTTGTAAAGCAGGTGGATTTTGGATGTATCATTTAAGCAACGCCGTGAATGGAGTGTCATGTTTACCAGCTTTGGCTGAGGTTGGAGACCTCTTCCGACATCTCGGCAGTGCTTTCGCAGCATCTTGCTTGCAATTCCTGGCGCAAGTGGCAAGACTCGGTCGTGTTGTTGAGCATGCCGGGGGATGGTTGCGCCCCTTTCGCGTTCTGAAGGTCGGTAGTGCCGACACAATACCGGCACAGGTTTCCAATTTTCAAGAGGAATCACCAGTCGAGTTCGCACGTATGCCAGTCGACTATTATTCTGTCACGTATTTTGAGGCTAAGTGCAATGCAGTTGCTCATTGACTATAGAGTGGATGAAACAAACGACCAACTGATCAACTGCTCGGCTATTCAATGCCACGCAGAATCCATCAGGTTTGCGCTTGGTGCAATCGACCCCCAGACTTGTACTCTGAGACGAGTGAGGTCCTTGTGCCTCCTTTCGAAGGAATACCAACAGGGTCTGTCGTTGTTGAGGCTGGGTTTATGAAAAGCCGACAGGAAAACCACAATTTTAGGGGGCCCGCGAAAAGACACCTCCAACCCACAAGGGCCCCAAATTTAGAGAACCTTCCACACGGCTTTCTGCTCCTCGCGGGCACCCATCGTTTTTCTTTTTTTCCCCCTGGAACCGCGGTCTCCAAGGTTTTTGTCCCGCAGGCAATTGACAATGATTCACCTGCAATGCGAAAAAATTCGGACTTGTTGGTGTCAGGTCGATGTTCCCTTTCATTTAAGTGGGGAGGGGCGAGTTCCCAATTCAAGTGGGTGTGGCTCAGAATTGAGCAGCTGGGGTTACGCAGGTTTCAGTCTACCTTTCCATTTAGGGTTCCATTTTGGACCCCGAGTTTTGAGCCACCCCCAAATAGAGCAAAGTCTACAGTGGCCTTTCCATGGCCACTGTGCCTGGGCTTTTGAGGTGGCACTGTGACTTTGCCGCGTTGCAACATGCTGGCTACAGGAGCATGTTCAAGCCCTACCGTGGATGGACGAAATCCGTTTCGTACCACTTTGAAACTATGGTCGAAAACAAGGTTAGTTGGTATTTTCAGAGGAATCATCATCCCAGGGTTTCTTAGATGTCGTCCATCCACAGTATTCGTCAACTAGCACCCTAGGTTCAAGGGGGCTTTCAGGTCTGGGTTGTCGAGTGGTTGCATACCATGATTGGAGTTCCAGTCACCCCCTTCCGCCATTTCTACTTTTTCAGGTTTGGATGTTTGCCCTTGCCTCTCTTCGATTGGCCCTTTTCCCTGATACCCATCCCTGAAGTTGAGCGATTGCACCTTCTCATTCACGTCCATCATCTCGAATCCTTTTTCACTCAGATGGGGCTCTTTCTTCACCCTTTCTTAGGGCTTCCGTACGTAATTCTGGTTAGTGAGAAATCTTGTTTGCCCAGATCCCTTGTCCAACCCTTAAGTGCTCTTCCTTATGTTCATTTGCTGGAAGAGCATTCTTCGAATCTATTGCCTCTTAGATGGGATCTTTCTTTCCCATGCTCCTCGAGCTCACCATCATGTATATACGGTGGATGCCCTAAATATTGCAAGTAAGGGCCCTCCAATTTAAGGTAATGTTGACCCCATATTAATCAACCCCAGTTTACAAATAGGGGGTGTTGCTAGCCATCACTTTGGGAGGGAACACCACCTATTAATAATCTGGAGTTGATTATTAATATGGGGTCAACATTGTTCTACCATGGTTGTGTCGTTGAGTATAGTTGGTGCAAGAAAACCAACTCTACTTGAGCGCCCGTGACATATTTGGAGCATCGGTCCTGTACTTGGCGGCTGGGTTTTGGGCAAGCAATTGGCTATCTGTCTGACTACAAGGAGACGAGGTTTCACGGGAGCTAGGTCCCCCAGTAGTGCCCTTTTACCGTTTCTTTTTTTGGGGAGGGTTCCCCTACTAACATAGACTTCCGAAAAAAAAAAAAAAAAAAAAAAAAAAAAAAAAAAAAAAAAAAAAAAACCAAAAAAAAAACAACAAATTAAAATCGGTACCCTTGTTCGAACCTCTCTACTGGAGGACCTAGGGAGGTTCTACTGGCCGGCCCTCCCGAGGTATGCCTTATGGCCCATCTGGGCACCAAGTTTGCATTTCGCCTCTCCAGAGAGATGGGACTGCCGGGCGCTCAGGTCGAGAAATGCACCGTTAAAACAGTGGGTACGGTCATGAAGGGGAGACCACAGGCAGGGGTGCAGGTGGCCTTTTGAACATTTTGGATTGGTGTTCTTGGGCACTTTTCAAGATTCAATTCACCCAAATGAGGCCACTGGCTAATGTGGACCCTGCGGGTGGGAATCTGCATCCCAAACCTTCAAATGGGACATCACCCGGGGTTTATGAATCCGTTCTCATGAGGGGATTCCGACAACGTTTTTTTTCTTCTTCTGAGTACCTTTCGTATTTTTCAGGGGGTTTCGAAGGAAAGCTGCCATTTTTTTTTGAGTTCCACTGCCTGACCTTGAGACAAACATTTTTTCCACCGAGCTCGCCCAGGTTTCAGGACGCAGGTCCCTTACTTGGGGATTCTTCATTCCCGGGTCCTCCCCATAGGTACTTCCATAGGACCTTCAATTTAGGTAGATGGTTATAGTTGTAAGGGGAAACCTCCGTAACACAAGGAAACATGGCTGTGGGTCAAACATAGGTACCACAATGGGTTGCTTTTTTTAAATGGAAAGGACGACTAAAACCTGCGGTCCAATTTTTGGTGGTTTATTTTTGACCCATACCCATATGATCCTCGAAGCCGTTTGTTTTACTTGTCTCACATGTTGGCAATGGCATCGTGGGGTGAGCTGCTTTGGTTTGGCGATGCTTTTTGAGGCATCTACTGGCCATTTAATTTGAGGCTCCATTTTTGCTTGCCTGGTGAGGTGGCATGTTTGCTTTTGATTTTGAGAAAACCGGTAGGAGGCATGTTGGACATGTGCGGTTTTGCAAAACAAACTCCATGACCCGTCACTTGAGTCAAGGGCCAACCAGTTTACAGCTTTTTCCGATTGGCATGTTTTGATCTGTAACTCACTGTCACAGTCCAAGCCCAAGCAGTTCTAGCCCAAACAGACACTGGGGGTGTTTCCCTTTGACCTACCATTGAGGCGGGGTGACCTTGATAGTGGTTTTCCAATGGGGCCAGCGGATACGTCCTCAACATGAATCAGCGTTTGGGCATTCAATCTGCCGAGCCCACCTTGTGCAACCCATATCAGCTGAGGACAAATTTGCTGGGCGTGTCCGTGACCTTTTGCAAGGGTCACGAGCCCTGTCGATGTTTGGGCCACCGCCCAATCAGAGAAGAAAAAACCTGCCTGGGGAGGAGGAGGGACCGTCAGAGTGGGGCGTTTAAAATACTGTGGATGGACGAACTCCTGCACCACCTAAGAAACCCTGGTTTCTGATGATTACCCCTATAAATACCCACAAACGGTATGGTTCCCACCGGGTTTTTTCTTGGTGCGAAATGGATTTCGTCTACTTCTCAATCTGCCTTGTGGGAGCTACTTTTCATTTCAGGCGACTTTCCTTAGCCTGCCTTAGACGACTTCTTCAAAGAGCTTTACTTTTTTGAGGCAACAGATTTTCAACTGCCCGTTTTAGACTACGATTTGAGACTCTGCCTTGTTTTGAACCAACTTTTTGAAGACTACCAAATTGGACTATCTTGTTAGACTACTAAAGTAAGCAACCTTTTTGGACCACCTTGTAGAATTCTTCGGGGTCTGTCATACTTGTGCCTCATAAACGGGGTTCCGGTCCAAGTTTGGTCAAGTGTGGTTTTCCTTTCGATTTTCCTTTAAGCCAACCCAAACCACATGTACTCTCAACAAAACACGAACCACTTGCGCTGTCCGATTCTCACGGATTTGTTGCAATCGGATTTGTTCTTCTTTAACTTCATGAATCATGACCAATGGACAGTATTACCAGAGTATTTGTTTTGGGTGGGTCTATGGTTTTTCAGGTTGGGTATTGTCCTCTGTCGATTTTGCAGGTTGGGTACCCGCTTTTTGACGGCCCCCCACTTGGTGGGAATCCGCTGGATGTCAGAGCCATGAGCATAGATTCACCACCATGTACTTGACGATTGGCATTTTGTTTATTGATTTGCTTCCTCTCCGGGTTTCTCTTGGGGCATGAGGACCAACAAGGCGAACTGAAGCTTGCAGAGCTTGGTTGCTCTGTGGTACAACCTTTAGCCTTGTCATCTTGGACAATGGCCATGATCTTGAATACCCTCCCAAGCGGTTGTAGGATGCAAATCCACACCTAACTGACATTCAACATCAGAGGGTCTCCATTTTTAGAACTCACGCCCAAATGACAGTTTCCTCGCGCGAACTATCAAACTTTTTAACTGTTTGGAGGTTGGTTTGGCCAGTCCAGTGGGCCCGGTGGGGCTTTGTTGCCTTAGATGCTCCTGCTGACAGGTGGAGGTGGGTGGAGCAGGTGAGACCAGGTCTCCTTTTGGATGGCTTATACCTCTGCGAAGTAATATGACCCCCGCCCAAAGGCTGCCAAAAGGAGGTTCCTCCAATGGACGAGATTTGCTTGGGTTCGGTTAAGGTACGTGCTTGGACAAGCCCCTCTTTGTATGGGGGGTCTTTGGGAGAATCCCCCTTTTTGTTGTATCACAGAAGTGGATTCCATTTCCCACAGCCCTGTCCCTTTCAGTTTCGGAATTTACAGTATGTTGACCTCGGAATCTGAAGTACTGCAAAACCGAAGGCGGGTTCCTTTTTTGGTCATGTGATCAACCAACGATCCGGGTTCCTCTTACTAGGCTCCTCCACTTGATTCTTTTTTTATTATTATTATTATTTTTATTTTATAATAATAAATAAACACATATGGATTGCTCCAGTTTTGGAACCACCATTCCTCCCCCCCGATGAGGAAACACCTCTACCCCCCCGCAGACCCCATACCCCACAGCTGCCTTCCGTTGGATCGCGCCTACTGCAGCCATTCGATCTGCGGGGGTCGACTCATCGGGTCTTCGGCCATGTGATCTGCGCCATCCATTCGAGCCATGGACTTCGCGCTGCTGCCCATCTCCAAGGAGCGGACAGGTGACGAAACGTCAAGAAGTCCAGTTCCTGGGCACACTTACAAGTATGTTGTTGTTGTTTTTTTTTTTTTTTTTTTTTTTTTTTTTTTTTTTTTTTTTTTTTTTTTTTTTTTTTTTTTTTTTTTTTTTTTTTTTTTTTTTAACAAAACAAAAACATACATGCATATGCATGTGCCAAGACAAACACCTTCAAGCTTACAATGGAATCCAAAGAAAGGGTCCAAATCCCAAAAGGAGATTCCTCTACTTGTTTTTTCCCCATGCTAAGTTGTAGAAGTGTAACCACACATTAATATTTTTTGTTGTTGAACAGGGAAATCGCCACCAAGGCCCAAACGCCATCAATCATTTTGCGCCAAGCTGCCAATTCAGAGGTGCGCGTTCAACATGCCGCCCCCAATTTACGAGGAGTTTTGTAGTTGGGTGTGGTTGGTTCACTGGAAATATGAGCTGTTTAGAGGTTCAACCAACTTAATAAGTAGGATATGACCATGGTTACAAGTGGGGTAACTGGGATAACCGTAGTTATAAGCTACTTACTAAGCAGCCTGAACACCCAAGTACCTCTCACTCTGGATTGGCCCGAGCCTGGGCTGATTCCTGGGCCTTTAGGTCTGGAAGCGTGAGAAGACCTTCAGAATTCGCACTTCACTCACCCGGACCTTCGGCCCAACTCCGAACGCCGGAGCAAAGGGCACCCAAAGCCAGCCAAAATGGTGCCACTCCCTTAATCCCTTACTCGCCAATTTATTTTGGGCATCCACCGTGGGTCCTTTACTTGATCCAATCCGTGTTTCACCGAGAGTTTGTCCGGGATCCGTGTTTTCACGGTTTCTGGGGGTCGAAGTCGTTTGCCTCTGGCCTATCACTTGGCGACTCTGATGGTAAAATCGTGGGGTTAGTTCTTCGAGGGGTTCCCTTGTTCCTTTTCCGGTTTAAGGGCCACTAGTAATGGGTGTGTCTTTTTGCAGGGTACCCCCAACAATAGATCGTTTCCGTTGCTTTTCCTTTCCAACCATCCCAAAAGAGGGTACCCTCAAGAAAAGACCCAGTTTTTTCCTTTCGGGCACATCAAATTGCGAATCCGCGACTCGGTGAGCGAATCTTAATTCGCCCCGATTGTAGTGGCTCGTGTTGAGGGGTCAGGCAAGAAGCTTCAGGTATCCCCAAATTGGATTGAGATTTTGAGCCCCTGTTTCTTGCAGTGTCACCACCAAACCACCGGGCTCCAAACCACACTTTTTGAGGGCAGGTTACCATTGGTAATTGTTGTTTCGGCCTGCAGGACTCCTTGGAATGGTCTGCTCGGCTGCATTAGAGAGGGGGTGTCGCAATGTGGCAATGTGGGCCTGTGGATGAAACATAGGTCCCCAAAATGGCTTACCCTGGCAAATGCAACCGTCTGTCAACTGAAGCCCCCGCGTTGGAGTTTAATCAGGAAGGACAGTGGTCAAAGCGGGCCTGTTTGAAAGTGCCGGTGAGGCGCAGTTGCTTTTGCAAGATCAAACAGCATCCTCCTTTTTGAATGCGCACCCCAGATTGACTTGCTGGTGCTCAGTAGGGAATGACCCAGGGTTTAGGGAAAGAAATTGGTGACCCAGGGGTCCCTTAAAGGAAGCCATAGGGGGATGGTGCAAATCGGGGGTCATTTTTTCAGAGAACCAGCAAGCTTCGGTCGCACCAGGCCCGATGGGGCAAGTTTGGGTGACGGAACTTTGGCCCTTGGTGGGGAAGCCGCACGCGTTGTTTGGCTCGACCGTGCCCAAGACCCGTTGGCCGATCTGCCAAAAGGAAGTGGTCACTTCGAAGGGCGGTGGAAAGATCTCTGAATAGTGCAGCCTGTTTCGAAGCTCCTCAGCTTATTTGCGCGCATCTCGACTATGCGAAAAGGAATCCAACTCTCCGGGGTCCTGAGTTTTGAGAAACATCACACAGGACTCCTCTGGAGTCCCTTTTTTGTAACAAGAAGCATCCTGGCCGCATGAATCCCGGAACCATCAAGCCTGGACCTTCTCTAAGTTTGGTTTTGTTCGGGCATTTGGCAGATTTTTCCTGGATAATTTCCTGGTTTGACGATTTCTTAGAATGTTTCAATGGCACATTTTAGAGAGATCCGACCAGCAGCCACCGAGGCAATGCAGCATCCTGAAGCTTGGAGGCGGCTCCGGAGGGATTGAGTGGAGTGGATTGTGGTAGCTTCTAGTAGCAGAATGGCGCCAGAGTTTGAAACGGAAAAGATCATGTGTTCCAGGGTGTTTCGGAAAAGACCTCGCTGCATTTCTTTGCTACAGGTTTTCTCCTTGATTCAGGTAACCCTTGGTGGTTTTGATTGGTGGTTTGGATTTGGATTTGAAGCCCTGCTTCCTGAGTGTAAATCGGGTTGACCCCTCCGTTTCACCAATTGGAGGGAAGCTGCTGATTGAAGACATATCAACGGCTGAAAGCTTTGAGGTCTGAGGTTAAAATGCTCCGGAAGGCGTCCGGAAGGCTTCCGGGGGTGGCTGTTGAGATGTTCTGCTTAGGCGGCTGCACAATCACATGAACCCTTCCCGGAGCAGCATGTTTTTAAAGGAAGGGGTTTTCTGGGTAGAAGTTTCTGTTTCGAATCACCCCTAGGCACCAGAGGTTTGGCCCCAGTGTGGTTGAGCAACACATGAGACTCAGTTCGTCCCGTACGTATGCGATGCGTTGCCATGAATTACTGGCAATGAGGTTTGATATCAATCCTGAGAACATCTTGAGTTGCATCTAATTTGGACGATTCATGTGCAACAGGCAAGCACTATCATTAGACACCGATGCAAAGGATATGACATGCACACTCACCACATGAGAGAACCGGGATGCCTGACCAAATTCCCGCGTCAGTGCGGGACACACGCAAAAATCAGGGGTCTGCATCTTTCCCCTCTGGAAGTTTTAAACATCTGCTTTTTGGGAGCTTTTAAGATGAGTTTGTTTCGGCTGGGGTGATGTTTCAAGGGGAACTGTAGTGGACCCGTGAAAATTGACAGCGCGCTGGCTTTCAATCAGCAAAGAAGGAGGTGATTCGAATCAGCTGATTCTTGTGGGGCGGAATCAACCAGTCCTCAAAAGCTTCCGTGCGGCAAAGCGAGTTCTGCCCAAAGTTTGAGAACGCCTCGATTTGGATGTGCAGGGAAGGCCCTTTTGGTTGCAATGGAAGGCCAAACGGTCTCCTACATTTTTTCCCAGGTTTCCTACATTCTTTCTTTTCTTGGGGGGTTATCCCCCGGTTCTTGGATTACCTAAAGGGGGTTTTGAGTGTCACAACCTCCGCTTCCTCGCCTCGCGATCGCGAGGTCTCACCGTGCTGCTGAACTGCGGCTGGACGGAGTCCATGGATCCGAAGCTCCTGAGCCCCGGCGACGATCCGCTTCGATTTTTCCGATCGCTTTGGCTGGAGAAATCGCTTGGGGTCTGAGCTCAAAAGGGGTCTGAACTGCAGTTCCCTAAACCATTTTCTATAATTTAGGTTGCAGTTCCCTACAACATTCCACAGCTGGGGCTTGCGGCTTTCCCCGCAGGATATTTTTGGTTGAGACATGGTGTAAACCTCAACTACCCCCAAACCACTACCCAGGGGAATTGGGGTTTATACCATTTTGTGATGCCATGTAGTGGCTGTATATCCCAGTGCTTGAAGTGGGCGTGAGCTCAATATTTCTTGCAAGCTGCGGCTTGCCAACTGCCCCGCGGATTTTTTCCGTCTTTGTTTCCACATGCATATGCGAAGGTGCTGTTTTGGGTACCATTTTTTTTGAGCCACTAGATGGGTTCCACTGGGTTTTATAAGCCGTTTACCAGGGGCATTGTTTAGAAGATCACCTATGACTGGATCTGACCTCCGAAACGGGGGTTCCCCCAAAGCTTTGCCGAAAAGGCTAAGGACCCCCCCTCCCCCGAAGATGCGTGGTTTGGGTCGGTTTGTTTAGTTTTGGGTTTGGATTTGGATTTGGATTGTTTTGGGTGGTTTGGATTTTGGGTTTCGGTTTTGGGTGGTTTGGGTCGATTTGTCTTCTACTTTGGATGTGTTTTGTTTGGTCTCCCTCTGTGTTTTCCATTCGACCCCCCCCCCCCCCCAATTGTGCACCCACAAAAATCGAGACACCCATGTGTGGCATCAAAACACGAAGGCGTGGGGGTTGGTAAGGATGGTCATGAATCCCTTGCTTAGATGGTCTGAGAGCCAGCTAAGTGGTAACGTATTCCACCAAACTCCTGGTTGCAAGGCCCCTAAAACGAGTCGGTTACTCAGCATTTCGCTAAGTGGCTGTGGCTCAAAACACCAGTAATGGCTTGCCCTTGTAAGTGGAAACATGGACCAAATCCTGCGGTGTTCCCCTCCGATCGTTTAATTTTGAGCCACAGTCCCGCAACATCCAAGATGAACATGAATCCCTCGACTTTTCCATGAATCGTAAAGGTTGTAAGCCATGCCCATGACCAGAGGCGGAGTATGGCACATGTGGGAAGTGGACCTTTCCCCCCCGCCCCCCCGGCTGTTGAAACCGGGGTTGGGGTCACCCAGATCGAATTTGCTGCGTGGGTGGGAATGAAGCAATTTCTGGTGTTTTGCCATATCTTTCATCAAGTTGTTCTTTAGACCACTTTTTTCCATGGCAGGGTCTTTTTTGCAGACCTTACTTGTTGAAGACCACTTTCTCATGGAGGTCTTTTTCGCCAACCTCACTGCTGGTGCCGGAAAAATCTCTGGCGAGCTGAGGACTCCCTTGATCCCCCACCTGCACGAGCTCGACCTGATTGTCGCTGGCTTAGGGCGCGGTGTTTCTTGAGGGTACCGTTCTTTTTGAGCGTTTCTGGGTGGGAAGCCTGTTGTTTGGTGGTTTTTGGGTGGGAAGCTTGTTTTTCGGGTTTTTTTTTGGGTGGGAAGCTTGTTTTTCGGGTTGTTTTTGGGTGGGAAGCCTGTTTTTTTTTTGGGTGGTTTCTGGGTGTGTATGAGGTAAGCGCCCGTTGCCATCAGCATCCTGAGCATGACGAGCATCATAAGCATCATGAGCATCATGAGCATCATGAGCATCATGAGCATGGTGAGCATCGTGAGCATCGTGAGCATGATGATCATCAAGCATTATGAGCATCGTCAGTCTTTTGAGCATTTGCATCATTCGCATTGCCTGCATCATCACCATCAATCCGTGGCAGCCACGCAGTTTCTGTATCATTCTCATTCTCCGTAGCATGATCAGCGCGACGTGCAGCATCAGCGCTCCATGCATCAGTTGCATCATTTGCATCATCAACATCACTTGCATCGTTTGCATTGTTCACAACGTTTGCATCCACATCAGCGACGTGATGGGACCCCTAACCCAGCCCCGTTTTTTGCGGAAAACGGGTCAACGAAGCCCCCGCCAATTGTGACATTGAAGCGGAGTGCAATTGGCTTTTGTGGCCCATGTGAACAAAACCCGATTCACATAAGTAATTTCTACACGTATAAGAGCTATAGTTCTCTTTCCTTTTTTTCTTTCCCTTTCTTGCTATTTGTTCTCTCTCTTTCTCTGTCTATCCCATTCTCGCTCTCTTGCTCTGTCTCTTGTTATATCCATCCATCCATCCATCCAATCAAGCAAGCAAGCAAGCAAGCAAGCAACCAACCAACCAATCAATCAGTCAATCAATCTATCAACCAATCAATCAAGCAATCAAGTGGCTCATAACTACCCTTTTTTCAATGCAATCCGCTGTAGCACATTTTGGCGCCCCAGCCAAATGAATTTGGCACCCGCAAAAAGACACACACACACACACTCACACGCACCCACATACACCTACTACTTCCATTTGCTTAAGAATACTTGTCATTTTCTTTGTTGCGTTTAATGTTTTGTTTTCCAGGGGGCTTAAGCAAATGGAAGATTCGGAGGCTCATTGGATCTGGCCAACTGAAAATCTTACTGAGGTGCTGACCCATGCGGACGTGAAGCACCTGGGCGCGCTGCCCTACGTGTTTCTCGCAGCGGGGAAAATTGGGCGAGGGGGAAGCTGGGGGGGGAGGGAAGGCGCGGCAAGGGCCTGTAGGGGACTCTAGTGCCTCTTGGTTTCCAAGTTGAGTCCCGAACAAAGCGGGTAGCCCCCAAAAAGGACAGACCCAAAAGTCCAGGGGTCACGGCTTCCTGGATGGGGTCTAGTGAAAATAGGGTCTAGACCAGGAGAAGCCCAGCAAAAAACCCTTTTTGCAACCTTAAGAAGGGAATGTCGTTTTGTGGGCGCCCAAGGGGACCTGTCTGAGGCTCACCAAGTACCCAAAGCGCCTAAAGGGAAACCCAAAAAAGGAACACCCACTTTGAGACAAACCTATTTTGAGACAACAAAGCCATGCGAGCCACACTCAAAACCCGGGTAGATGAAGGTTAGTAAGGACCATTTTGATACCCATCGGGTTTGATTGTGACTCATGTCTCCTTTCTTCGTTTCCCTATTTCTTTCTTCCTTTTTTCCCTGCTCGGAGGGACGTTTTCGTTCTTTTCCGACCCCCCTGCTCGGACGGACCTTCTGCGCTCGCTGCGTCGCTTCGCGTCGCTTCGCGTCGCTTCGTGGGAGTCTGGGTGTGGCTCAAAATTAAACAGCCAGGGCGGTCTGCAGGTTTTGGTCCATGTTTCCACTTAGGGCAACCCATTTTGGAATTCCGGTTTTTTGAGACACAGCCGAGGCTCACCAAGTACCCGGTCTCCTGCCCGGTGCTCTGCACCGAGCCGGTGCAGCGGCTCGGGGAGCTCAGCGCCGTCAGCGGCCTCGAGGCACCGGGGGAAGCGAGCGGCGCCGCGTTTTTTTCTTCTTCCTTCTCCGGCGAGGGATTTGTTTCCTTCTCCGGCGAGTTTTTTTTTGGGGTTTCTCGCGGTTCCCTTCAGAATAAAAAAAACTGATCGCCATTTTGGGCCCGAGCTTGGATCATCTTTGGAACGGCGCTCTTGGTATAGCTGAAAAAGACGGCCCGGTCTGGAGTTCCCCTTTTTGGTCATCTAGTATGTATCAGGTAGAAAAGCATATGAAGTGTTGGATTAGCCTCTATTGGTTTAAAGAATGGTCGAAGCCGAAAGGTTGGAAAACTTGAAATCAGGAAACACTTGCAACTTCGGATCATCTTTTTGTCTATAGGGGGAGTCAAGAAATGGACACCCTGGAGGGAGTAACTAATCTCACCTGCCCAAAGCGACTCGATCTTCTGACCTTCTTGTTTCCCCATGTTTAGGCATGGCCCCCGAAGGGCCGATTGAGACTTCCGGCCGTTCTGAACCTGACGGGCACTCGGCTCCAGGGTTAGAGAAACGGGCGATTGACTGACGCGCGGCGCGCCGGGGATCTCCTGAAGGCGTTGAGATTGTAAGGTTGGCTGAGGCTGGCTGGATAGGGCTGCCAGACTCAAGCATCCTTTTTTTTTTTTGCGCAAAAGCGGAGGTAGGGGTGGGACCAAGAATTGGTGGCAACCACCACACCCTGGTTGTTTGCCTTAAATGGAGTTTCAACAATAGCTGTTTGAAAGTGTTGAAACGAGTACGTCGCACAAACCAGGACCCCAAAGCAAAGGGCGTGTATAAGAATACCGGGCCCCGAAAATGGGTGCCTTCTGGCTCCCTCTGCGCGTCCAAAAGAGCCAAACAAGACATGGACCTTGGCTCTGAAAAGGAGAAGGTGGGTGCCTTCTGGGATGTGTCGTAGATTCCCATGGCCACAAAAGTGAGGGACATGGCTCAAGGCTGGACACAAGGCGATAGCCATGGATGTGATTAGCCAGGGGCTGTGTGATTTGTTTGCCCTTTTCAGCCCGTTGATGCATCACCTGGTTTGCCACTTTATGGGTTTCCTCCAAAATGATGCTTGGGGGGGAAATAGGAGCTCGGTGATATTTGTGCTTCTGAAATGGACACACTCATGTGTCGTTTGCGCACGTCCCAACATAGAACATGTATACCTCAGAGGTGCCTATTCGTTTTTCAAGGTTACCAATTTGTTGGGTTAAATCGGAAAGCAACAGGACACCCGCAAGAAATGACCCAACGACCCGTAGAAGCATTCCCCCAGAACTGGATTTCGGCACGTCAGGACCGGGAGAAATACCGGGACCCTGCGGAGGCATACGCAGCTCGGCCGGGGGAAATCGGGTGCTTTGGGAACGTCCCGTATGGGTGTGTTTCTTTCTGAGGGTACCCGCTTTGGGAGGGTTTTAAAGGGAAACCAAAAAGACAACTGCCATTCTAGGGTCCCCTAAAGAAAGGACACACCCAGATCGGGTTTTGCTGCTGCTTTTTGTGAGGATGCCCAAAGGTGGTTTCTTTGAATCGAAACCAAAGAGAATCTCCAGCATAATTTTTAGTGGGGGCAAGAACTGTTTTTTTGCCGGGGTGGACTGCTATGTTTGATGTCACCTTGTGCGTTAGTTGGGAAATATAGTGCCCTGGTAAACCTGTTGGTCGAATCATGTAGGGCCATCTATATTCCCAGAAGGACACCTATAGAGCTTGCGCTGGACCCGATTTTTGTGTACCTTTGATGGCCCACCACATGATACTTACCTTTCATGCATGAAGAATGGTCGGACTTCCACTTAGCTTGAGTTCAAGCGACCCACACACACACACACACATACATGATGCCAAAACGGGACACAAGTCAACCGGGGTGTACCCTCCCACATGAAACCGAACTGGGCGCTGCTCCTCCCCTTTTACACCCTGAATCTATGAGTGACCGCACATACGACAAATTCTGCTCGCTGGCAAAGCCCATCCACTGAAGAAATCCAAAAACCTGCGGACAGAAGGCTTCATGTTTTGTTCAGTGGTTTTTCTTGAAGCACAGATCATTTTTTTTTGAAAAGACATTGTGTTTAACGTCACCGAAGTGGGTTGTTATTTGGACAGCAAACACGTCCCGGCCAATTCTGTTGGTTCCGTTTGAACGCCATTTCATTTTAAAGTACATCCACAATGGCAGGTTGCATCATGATTCGTTCCTGTTCAACCGACGTCCCCAAAGGCTTGGATTCATTTTGAATGTCGTTTGACGCTTGCCACCAAGGGTGCAGCTCATGTCTTCCCATACAACCAATACCGAGTACGATGTCGACCATTTACTAAAAAGGGAGGTATTCTGGAAAACCAGGTTTGTTTTTTACACCAAAACACAAAAGGGTATTTGGAGTAGGGGGTCTCAGACGATCGGTCGATCGAGCCTAGGAAGTGGATGATGTGTTGCGGACCTTTATGTCCAGGCTGACGACCCTGAAATACCGCGCCTCGGCTGAGAAAGTTCTCCTGTCGGGAGGCTCGACCCCCCCCCCCTGGCTGGTAGAGAGTCAACCATTCTGGGCGTAGAGCGAGGATTTGGAGGGGTCGCTTACCCCCCTTGGATGTGTTTCTTGTCTTTTGTCTCCAACTGCGAACCGCCCTGAAATGGCGGTCGCCCCACCCCAGCATTTCAAGCTTTAAGGTTCACTAAATCTGAAGCAGAATCCACCACGATGTTCGATTAAATGGCCGGACCAGACACGGATTCGTGGGGACATGTGCGGCGCTTTCTTCGGCTTTCCAGGTGCGTTTCAGATCGACCGCATCGGCCGGGTTTTGGAGCGCCTGGAACCCGATCCGGCCAAACACGGGGAGCAAGATTCCCGGATTTTTTTCGCACATCCAATGAATCCGGGAATGTCACCCACAAAAGTGATCCGGATTCCTAAGAGGAATTGGACACCCCCTATTAGCCAGGGGTTTATGAGAATGCGGGGTTGACATATGGGTGTGTCTTTTGTGAGGGCTTTTTGGTGGTTTTAGAGGGACATCAAGAGGAAAACCCACATTTTTGTTGGGTACCTCAAGAAGGAAGAGCCACCCATATTTCTGGGCAAACAGACCTAAGAAAGCTTGCAACGTCAAGAAAAAGCTTACCCATGGTCATTTGGGGGCCGTTCACGGAATTCTTTTCTCACCCTCCCCCGACTGTGGGGGTTTGGTTGGGCACCCCTTTTTGATGGTTTTCAACTGAAACCTGAGGAGAGCACCAGGGGGGTCCAACCTAAAAACAAATGAGCCACCCATTTGTCCCAGGTCCAAGTACCCCATACTTCCGGTTTTGGGATTGGTCCACTACAAATTCCTTAGATACGCAAATACGAGGCACTTGGACTTATTGCCAGTTCCGAACCCACAAAAATCAGACCCATGGTCCAAGCTTCAACAAGACGAGCCATCCATCTTGGGGGTTTTTTGGGGGGCCGCAGCCGCGGGAGTTGTTTTTTTTTTTTTTTTCCTCGCCGGCTTCGGAACTCTGAGGCGAGACCTTCCGGATCCAGGCGAACGGCCGCGTGCTGGCGGCCTGCCCCTACCCCTCGGGGGCGCATCTGGGCAGCGCCTTCTGGACGCTGCACTGCGGGTCTCTGCGCCTCGGACGGAGAAAATGGGCTCCTTGAAGGGGCGGGGGGGAGGGAGGGGGGGGAGGGGAGGGGTTGGGCAGGTTGGGGCGATTGAATTTGGATGTTCAACCAACTTGAGTAGGTTGTAACCATGGCAAGTGGTTGGAAACTGGGGTTGGTCTTCTTGTAATTATGCTTATAAGTGGTTGGTAACTGGTTGAGTATCCAGGCTTCCAATGTTTGATGACACAAAGGGAATGCCCGCCCGTCCTCCAAGACGCCGGTTTTGGTCTCGGAGGAACTTGGATGTTCAACCAACTTAGTGAGTGGGTTGTACCCAATGGTTATAAGTGGAGCAACTGGGGTGATCGTCCCCTTCTCACCATGTTTTCTTAACCTGACGTTGATTGACCACCCAAGAAGGACCGGGGAATATCGGAGTTGAACTAACAAGATACCCTCCTGTCCACGTTGCCGTGGAACCTGCCTTTTGGTTCGGACGATTTCCTTGAAAAGGCATCTTCTGGTGGAAACCGCGGCAACAGCAGGAGGGTTTGTTTCAGACGGGAGTCACAAACCTGGCATACCAATCGAGGCCAACACATGCGCAAACAAGAGTCGCCCGTTGCACGAGTTCTAAGAAATGAAACCTCATTGGCAATTTTAGTGGTAGTTCTACTACATGGTGCTATGGTCATAATATGGCCTATATAAATCTTTAGCCAGAAGTCACCAGGTTTCTCCCCCTTTAGTTTTTTTGAGCTTTCGGGACTACTGCATAAGTGTGGGGTCTCGGACCAAAACTATTCGATACTGTATGGTGGACCAATTATGGTTTACATACTCAGAATATCTCTATTTCTGTGTACCCCAAATGTTTAGCTTCTCCCTTGGAAAGCACCAAGAAAAAAGGTACCAACTCCAAAACGACGCGTGTACCCTTTTTGCATGCTTTCAAAGGGACATCAAAAGGACAACCACCTTAGTACTACTTGTTTTGTTGGGGGGGGGGGCTCTATTTGATGGCTTGAATTGACTTGTGTTTAGAACCAGGAATTCAAATCCATTTGCCCGTTTCCCCCCAAAAAAAACTCGGCCATTTGGGGTCCAAGTGTGCTTCATGGGGCTTTTGCTTTGTCTTAAAGGAATCGGAACCCTCCCAACTGTGCTTCGGTGTCCTTTCGGTTTCCTTTTAACACCAGCCAAACGCTCGGTACAAACTAGCAAAACAGAAGAAACACCATGGGACAGACTACCCTCCTTGCCATTGGTTGAGCATCAACCATAGGTCGGTGGTGTACCTGGTGGACGGCGCCATGCGCCGGGGCCGGTACCTGGATGGCCTGGAAGTGCAGCGCTTGCTGCCCGCCTGCCGAGGCGTGAGCCAGCCGGCTCTGGTACCTGGTTTCTTTGGGGGAGGTTGGGAAGGGGGCGGGGAAGGGGGGGGAAGTTTTTGTTTTTTGGTGGGGGTGGGGGTGGGGGCTGGGTTTTTTGGTAAGTTTTCGTTAGGGGAGGTTGGGAAGGGGGGGGGTTAAGGGGGGGGTCTTTTGGTACCGTTCCTTTTTCTTTTCTTTCGGGGGGGAGGGGAGGGCGGGGAGTAGTTTTGTTTTTGTAGGGGTGCTGGTTTATCCTTCCGAGATTTGTTAAGTTCTTCTTCTTTTGTTTTGAGGGGTGTGTCTTTTTGAATGGGCACCTTTTGTGGGTTGGTTTCAAGGAATTTGCTGAAGGCACATCATTCATTTTTGGGCTGCGAGACTTTGTCTCAGAGTGGGGAACCTCACAATTTGGTGGTTTCCATTTAACTTTTTCTTTTGAACCCCCCAAAGAGGACACACCCACATAGGATTCCCCCTGTCCAGTCTTTTGGTTGCCCAGTCTGTTGGTTGCCCCCCTAAGAGACTAAGGCCTAGCGGTGGGTCTTACTCTGGAAGAGGGGAAGGGGCGGTTGGATGCCATGACTTTTGAGAGGCGAGGTGGCATGAGGGGTTGTTGGGTCTCAGGGCGATTCTTTATGACTAAGAAACCCTTCCATTTGGTTTCTTCTCAAAATAGGGACCCCCCCCAGAATGCGTGGTTGTCCTTTTGGTTTCCCTTTGAAACCATCCAAAAAGGACAACCTCAAAAAAGACATACCCATGCGTTGAAGAAGACTTGTTATCTATCGCTGGACATGTTTCTACTTTTCCAAAGGGCATATTTGGACATGGAGACTTAAAAGGCGGCGAGGTAGTCATAGAGATGGAAATCCCACTAGGTGATGGGGAGGGGCGGGAAGGACGGAATAGGGCTGCGCAAATGCAGGATGCATTTGGGTGTTTTTTTCGGGTTACCCCTTGTCTGTTTGGGGTGGTCTTAGACCAAACACAGGAACAACCACACATTTTGGTGTCCACTCCCCCCTACTTTGACACCTGGACTCTGACGTGGGGGCGGCCTCCTTTTTGGGTCCTCAAATTGGAAGGTGGAGCAACAAGTTTCACACGGCTGCTGTTTGTTGGACTAAATTAACAACAACACCCGGCTAGAGGGAGGCTGAGAACAGGGATAGTCAAATCTACCTGGGCTAGTCAAAAGATGGAACTCATGATACGACCCCAAGGGTTGGTAAGATCACAGCCAGTGTTTCCTTGGCTGGGCAAAACGACCAGCTGCTGCATCACTTGGATGTTCAACCAACTTCGCAAGTAGCTTATATCCATGGTTATAAGGATTTTTCAGTGACTGGGGTGATCTTCCCCTTACCATTGTTACCTACTTAAGTTTTTCGAAGATATCCAACATCTCTGATGACTCAACTTTTTTGGGCTCCCTTTTTCTCCCTCCGAGCTTGTTCTTTTAACCCTCCTCTTGTTTTAAGCCTCAAACCCATGGGGAACCGTCTGCAGGGACCACGTCTAAGTCGAGGTTTGCCACGTCTCAGGCGCTGCCCGTCGCAGGTTAGGACGCGCCACCCGGTCGTCGCATTCTTCGTGTCGAGGCGCCGCGGGGCGCTGGGACGTGGTGGTCACTGCGCCGCCCTCCACGGCAGATTTGCCACAGGCAGAAGCTTTTCCGCGAGACCGGCGGCAAAAGTACAGGGCTCCTTAAAAGATACATTTTGCAACCATTTGAAACATGTTGCATTTTCAACACCAAAATGAAGTTGGAAACCACCATTTACAAGGCAATGTTCAGGTGTACAATGTAACAATCCGTACGCCCATCTTTTGGGACAGGCGGAACCCAGAAGTAACTAGCCGGTTCAACTTGGGTGGTAAGAGGGGTTTTAGTTGGTGTAGTGGTTTGGGTGTTTATTTGGCCCATCACAAGTTTAAAACTTTTGGCAGGGGATCTGAGGACAGCCCAGTTTTGTTTGACCTTCTTGTGTTTCAAACACCTGTTGGTTTCACAAGCTTCATTGCCAGTATGTTGAAAAATAACCTTTGGATAAACCACTATTTTTCAACTGCCGCTACTTTCAAACATGTTCAAGCCATTACTTGTGGACTATGTAGATTCATTCTGTAACGACATGCGCCAGGGTCTGTAAACAAACAGTGGGTGCATGGCTTTAACCTTAGTTTGGCTTCAATTGAAAGGATATTTGGGCGAGCCTCTTTGAAGCGGAAACAAGAAGACATGATCTTTATGACTCTTTGGCAACGGATCTTTGATTAACTTTTTGCGAAGACACTGGATGTTCCGCTGGACCCACAAAAGAGCGAAACTTAGAGGGGTCAACGGCCAACAAGAATGGGTTGTTTTCAACATAGGGGCGCCCTCTTTTAGAGTGGTTTAGGGAACCCCCCAAAAAGCACCAAGTTTTGGGCTCTGACACCCAAATTTGGGCGGCTTTCTTTTGGCTTACCCCTTTCCTCGGGCAATTGTCTTCCTGACCTGGACAAATAGGAGCTTGCCGCTTGGAATTTTCCAGAGGTGCTTTCTTGGGGAAGACTTACGGTCTTGAGCACCTCCTTAGAATCGCTGCTGGCCCGTTCGTTTCCTTGTACTTCAACAATAGTGGGTCTGAACAACTGTGTATTGCCTACCTTTTAGTTTCCATTTAAAGCAAGGGTCGAAGGCTCCTAATATTTTTAGGCGACCACAACCTTTTGCTTGGGTAGGACAAGCCCTTGAACATTGCCGTTTTGAGGGTTGTGCTGGCAACATGCATGGGGCCCGACCTGCCTGGCACCCGTTGTGCGCGGGGAGCGCCATTGCGCCACAGGCCCCCGCTGTCCTGTAGCCACTTCCGACGCCAACTTATCCCTAATTGCGGAGCAACAGTTTCATGTTGGTGCCCAGTTTGTCCTCCAGCTGCGGACAGAGGCAACTTCTTGGGCGACGCAGTCCCATTGCTTCATTGGGGGCAGCTGAGGAAACGCGAGTTTTACCATTGTTTGTACCTTCGTTAGTCCCTTGCTGCAATGTAGGTTTGCCTTGTAAGTCGCTTACTTCTGCATGTGAATGTACCAGCATGTCATGCACTGTTGTACATTCCGCAGAGGCTTAAACCAGATACTGCTGCGCCGCCATACAAGAGAGAACAGCCTTCGCGGTATTTGACATGACATATTGTTTAAGAGTATATCACTACTCCTTGAGCCCTATTTGTGTTTCAGGGGGCCCCAAAAACCATCACTCCCTGAGTTCACGGACTTTTAAAACTTTTTGAAGGGCCGTTTTAGTGGCAAAGATCAAGCTTGGAGACTTTGTTTTGGCCAGTTTTCACTCGGGAAGAGTGGGTCTTGCCATCTCTTGGGGCCCGGCCGCGGAAAATGGCGCCCCCCGTTTTCGCCAGGGGGGCCACCAACGGCCCGTGGAGCTGCATGCGGCCTCCAAGGCCCCTTTTTCGCCTTCGGGCTGCGTCGGGCGGGGGAGTTGGTCTGAGGTGATTGGCACCACAAAAGGTAGGCAGCCACAGGGGTTTCCAACCATGTAAAACCTAAAGCCACACCTAGTGACCCACTTATCGTAAGTGGAAGCACCGGGTTGAGGATCATTTTCCTGGGCTCTGGTGAATCCTTTGACACAAGTGGTTGCCCACTGTGGATGGACGAGCAACAACAAGTCTGCACCACCTGAGAAGCCATGGTTTCTGATGATTCTCCTGTATCCATGGTTTCTGAAGGGTGGTGCGAAATAGGTATGGGTCAATATGAAACCACCAGGAAATGGACCGCAGGTTTTGGTCCATGTTTCCACTTACCAGGGTTCCATTTGGCGTACCTATTTTTGACCCACAGCCGTTTGAGCTGGTCCTTTCCTGCGAACCCCGGATACAGTCCGGGAAACGGACTGCTTGAGCCACTTGCTCAAATCCGATTCGGGTAGATGAAGGTTAGGGACAATCCCAACCATAAAAATAGCTGCGGACTTCAGCCTTACCTTCTTAATTCTTGAAGCATGGTTCTGGGTGCACCAGTTTTGTAGGTTTTGAGCAAGTGACGCACCTGAAGTCTCCTTTTAATACCGGGTTCTGGGTAGATCCTTGCAATCCCGGGCTTTGATCATGACGCACTTGCGGTCCGGCACGCCTTCTTGTGCGGGCTGAATCGGGTTCGGCTTTGCGGGGGGGGGGGAGGGGCGATACGTCAGTTGCACGTCAGTCAGCCTCAGCACAGGATCAACGAAGCCAAGTTTTTGTTTCTTTCGGGGTGCCAATTCTGTCCGCTTTGTGATATCGTAGAATTCGTAAACGATACCCTATCCCAGACACCCAGCCAGACACCCAGTGCTCTCTTTTGAGGTGGTTTGAATCTGAAAGTCAACCTACATGAAGGGTGCCTTTTTTCCCGTGGCTGGAGGCCCAGGCCTAACATCGGTGGGTGCAAAGCCGGCGTGTTTTTTTATTCCACAGTCACATGCCTCCGTGAAGACTTCACAGGTGAAAAAGCGGCCCTTGGAATCAAACATCATGGTTCGCTGCAAACCTCTCGGGGCCCGAATTCATTGGTTTCGGACCACTGCTTCAACAATAAAGATCCGAGCCTCCCCAGTTTTATCACTGTGCTGCCAGTCCGGGCTCGAATCATAGCATGACATGCATGACTCTCTTCCCCACAAGGATCACAAGGATCCTGAAGAGAGATTTGTTCCAGAGAAGTTGACGGGTTTCTTGTTGGCCTTTGCTTGGCCCCGCTTCGAATTTCTTGGCTTTTGGCTTCTTTTGTTTGTTGGCGCCCCCTCCTTTCCCCGCTGCCTGGGGCGTTTCGCGTTTCAAACGCGGCCATGGCGGACCGCGTGAAAGTGATTGGCCGGCAGCTAATGCCCGCAGCCGTCTCGTCCGAGGAGGGGGTCAAGAGGCATGGAGTGCTTTGGAACATGTGGGAGTTTCTCAAAATGGGATGCGAGCCCCTTTGGGATATGGAAGATTTGCTTGGGAGTTTAAACACTTCTTAGGTTATAACCTTGGTTCTGAGGGGACTGACTACCACACTAACAATGGGTTATATCCTACTTACTAAGTGGGTTGAACACCCGAGTGGGTATGACTTTTACTAGGGGACCCGAACTGGTGGACATCATTCCGAGAAGAATGTCCACCACATATGCTTGGGTTCTCCATTCGCATTCATGGGGGTTGGTTTTTTCAGTGAAACCAAAGACAACCAATCGCTTTGGGGTGGTCAGGACACCAAAAGGAGAGCCAATACCTCGGGGTTTCAAATGCCCCGATTTTGAGACAGAACAACCCCATGCCCTGCATATGCAGCGCCCAAAACCGATTCCTATGAGCCAATTTAGTGGGTTCTACTACCTGGTGTAGGGAGCACAAAGAGGCTACGAACCATTGTGCTTGGATGTTCTGGGACTTAGCTAAATGGTTCATAATCCTGGTTATAAGGGACTTGCAGCCATGCTGAATGGGTTACAACTAGGGCAAAGCTAAGCACTTAGCGCTTCCTCCCAGACCATCTCAGTAACCTGGAACTCAAAGTCAATGGGTTTGGGCACTGCCCAAGTTGGTCAACATGAGGCCATCCATCTTGGGCAGTGCCTTTGCCCAAGTGTTTTGTTGGGACCTGAAGCCGCTTTTGGGCATCTTGGGCTCAGGTCGGGTCGAAATCGGCCCAGAAATCGGCTGGCTGGGGGGGCAGGGGCGGCTCAGCGCGGCTGTGTCCCGATTGATCACACCTCAGAAGGGGAAGGGGGGGGGGGGGTCGAATCCAAAATCACCGACTTACAGAGACCCTGACCCAAAGACAGAACTTGGGTGTTCAAGCTACTTAGTAAGTCGGTTATAGCCATGTAGCCATGGTAAGGGGACAATCCTAGTTACCAACCACTCATTCCAACTCTCAGCCCCAACGGCTTCATCCAGGTGGTTTCCTTTCAGGGAACCCCCAAACGGTTCATTTTCCCAACGCCCGGACTGGGTCATTCCCTACCAATCGCACCAGCGAGCTTATTTGCGGTTTGAAACGGACCATCGTCCCGGAGTCTGTCGTGAATCCTTTCCAAGTGCTTCCAGGCGCGCAAGCCACAAAAGGTAGGCAGCCACAGGGGTTTCCAACCATGTAAAACCTAAAGCCACACCTAGTGACCCACTTATCGTAACTGGAAGCACCGGGTTAAGGATCATTTTCCTGGGCTCTGGTGAATCCTTTGACACGAGTTGTTTCCTACTGTGGATGAACGAAAAAAACAAGTCTGCACCACCTGAGAAGCCATGGTTTGTGATGATTCCCCTGTATCCGAAGGATACGAAACCAATACAAAACAAATATCACAACCATCCACAGTGAGCCCCGTTTTTTCTTTGGGCGCCAGGATGTCGATCTGGACAGCCTCGCCTATGGCTTCATGGGCTCTCAGGTCGCTCGGATTCGCCGAAGCGCCGCTGGGTTGGCCGAATCGAACGGGTTGGCCTTTGAATTTGCCGTAAAAAGCAGTTCAGCCTCCCCCGCCCCCCCCTTCACAGGATGCCTGGGCTGGGTGAAGCAAGTCATGAGGGGTGAAGTTATTTTCGGACCTGCTATGAGAATGAGTTTATTCTTGGTTTTCAGGCACTCAAAACTCAATTTGATTCTTTAGTTTATTGCTTTAGGTCTTTTTTGAGGGTACCTTTTTGGGTGATAGGGGGGACGCAAACGGAAGCTAGGAGGGTTGTTCTTTGAGACCTGGTTCAACCTGGATTTGAGTTGCTCTTTTTTTACCTCTGGGAGCCAGCGGCCACCCGAAGCCCTGAGTGGCCGAATTCGAAATACGCCTGGGTCTTCAGCTAGGTGCCCTTCCTCACTCCGTTGGTTGGGAGGGTTCCCCTACTGAAATAGACGGCGGAAAAAAATGGTACCAACTTATTCTAGCCCCTCAAATCTGGAGGACCTAGCTGCTTGGGTGGTCTGGCACTGAACTAAATCTTTCGTCGCCCTAGGGGACTTACAACGGCTTTGCTACCACTTGGCGACCACCTAGCTAACTCCCAGGGCAAAGCTAACTCCCAGGGCAAAGCGAACTGACCATCTTTAGTAACCAGGGCAAAGCAAACCACTTGGCGAACTCCCATCCAAGTGAACCCATGTCGAGCCAGGTTAGGCCCAAGGCTGAGGTATGGGGGACTCACCTCCATTTCCAACCAACCCATGAGCGAACAGGGTTTCCGAGCCATTTGCCCTTTGACGGGAACCTCCAAAAGTGGCATTGCCAAAAGAAGCCACTGATAAGTTGATCAACTTTTGATTTCGGGAATGACCCCTGTCACTATTTTGCCCATGTCCTCTTCAAAAAAACACGTTCTTTTTGACAGCTCATCCTTGAATGGATGAGTTGCGCAATGAGTTCTTGCTTGACCGGCAGGCAGCCACTAGGGCCCAATGGATTCGTTGCAGACGGACTTTGACCACCATTTCGGCCTTCTGTGCGTCACCTTTATAGCAAGAGCCCTCTACAAAAAGTGAACGGCTTTTGGATTGCGCGCCTCACCACTTTTCCTAAACCAATGCCTCTACAAGTGCATCAACTGTTTGCGGTCTTTAGGACGCTTTTTGCATTTCCACGCCTCCAAAAGGTGAGGTGTAGAATATTTGAACCAACATAGAAAATTATACACGAAAACCCCTTTGCTACCTAAGGCTTCTTAACTCAAGTTGTCATATTTCAGGTTTCGCTAGCCCCTTTTTCACTTCAACGCAAGAGGCCCGCTGCCAGAGAAATGACATATTGGCTCGTGTTCGGAAGGACCGGGCTCTGGAAAAGGTAAGAATGCCCGATCGCGGATCGATGGAGCGATTCATTTGGGCCAGCCCGGCCTTTGGGCATTCATTTTTCATGGGGACCCGAGATGGTGGACATCATAAGTTTACAAGAATTAATTTAGGTTGGGGATTCGAGGGGACTGATGGCCATATGTGGTTCACTCAGAATTCGGTGGGGATTCGATTCCTTATGAACAATTTTTGGGCCATATGAACACTGGGTATTTCTCAACACGAAGAACCCCCCCAAAACAAAAGATGGTGGGTGAAACCTATTGGTTTCAGCCTCAACTCGGGCAAAACAAGAAGCATTTCCTTGAAAACGGTCCCTCAGCCCTCAAGCCGTAAGATTTTTGCAAAGACCTACTCAGTAGCATAGTTCCCCAAATGCGAACAGCAATGAAGAAGCAATGATCAGCCAATGAGCCACGAAAGAACACCAATGGAAGACAAAGCAAAAACGATAAAAGCAACAACAAACCACCGAAGGAACAAAAACAACACCACTGAACAAAATTAAGCATACACACAGACAATGGTAATTCCAACGACACACAATGCACACCAATGACAAGCAATGACAGGCCCCATGATTCAACACAACATCAACCACACTTGCTGGTAGTAGGGAATGCCCTTCCGTGTG